CCCCTTCTTCTACACGTTTTCGTCTGTCGGCAGCGTCAGATTTGTATAAGTGACAGCCTCCCCCCCTGCGCCGGTCGCCCTGGGTGCTCTCCAGAACTAAACATTAACCTTCTTGGAGTCTAGGCTAATGACCTCTCGAGTCAGATGTCGAGTCCTCGCTAGGAACACCACACACATACATACATACGTTGGTTCCCCAGTGTCTAAAGCACGTAGGATCAAAGTGCGTGTTCGTGATGACATTTCATCGGTTGAACAGCTGGTGCATTTACAATTGCATCGCCTCTGTTCGGTGCACAACTCATCAGGGGGTATCAATCCTTTCTACTCTCTGCCATTCCTTGTAACAGACGGCCGGTGTCGTCCCTCTTCTCAAGTCTCCACGTCCTATCCAAGCGTCTCAGCTTGCCTAACAAAAGTCCTTCTGTCGCCGTGTCCTCTGTCTGCCCACCATCTCGTGGTTCTGACCTCATGTACCGACCGTGCCACCTCCATCGCCTCCACGCTCTGCATTGACCTGCTGTAACATGGCCGTCAAGACTCCCAAGCTGCCCTGGGCCTCGGGATTCTGCTCAAGACACCTCTTGATCACGTCGAACTCGGATTCTCCGACCGTGGATACCTGAGTGCATAGCTGCACCACTGAAGGGGAAGAGGCTAGTTGGGGACCGAGAACTTTCTGAGCCATGGCCATGGCGGAGTTGGGCGGCGGCGAGGGCTGTAGTGACGGTTGGATAAGCGGTTGATGAGGTTGTGGGAGCGAAGAGGGTGTGGGAGTAGGAAAGGCTGCTGTCACCCCTAAACCATGTTGCGCCTGAGGAGTTCCATTCGCTCCTTGCTGACCTGGTATGGGAGATTGATTGTAGGGGAAGCTGCCTTCATGAGGCGTGATAGGGGTCTGAGCTATCGGTCCTCCGACCATAGGACTGGCCGCAGAAGCAGGTGTCCCATCAGCTTGCGTAGAAGGCGCATTATGTGGCAACTCGCTGTTTTTGATGACGATCGGGACAAGCAGCATTTTCTCCTGCGCCGGATCCGGGAAATCCGTTTCGAGTTTCTTGACAAAAGTGGGCATTTCCTGGCTCTTGTCCAGCGGAATCAAGTAGATGTCTTTGATCGCCGGATTCGTGTGTTGAATTCCCACGCCGAACCGGTCCTTGTTCTTAAAGTATCGGAAGAACTTGTCGAATTGCTCCTGATCCAGCGAGTTTGTAGGTTCCGGCATGCACACAATGACCAGGTCAGACGTATTGCTGTACTCGAGGCCACAGAGGTATTCATCTGCTCGAGAAGGTTGGATTCGACCTCCTATGTCAATTTCAGCCGGGATGATCTGGTCATAGGTCATGCGCAACGTATCGGCATCCGGAGTCGCCCCAGCTGCGTATCTCGCAACAGCATGAAATCGGCCTAGGTTACCGCCGTTGACGATACCGTGCCAAACAACGCCATCAGCTTCAGCGGACTCCTTGGGCGAATAGGGAGGTGACTCGGCCTCCTCATCTTTGAGGAGCTCGTCGATGTCTGCGTCAGCCTTGGTCCCTGGGGCGATGGGTTCTCGGACAGTGGTGGTTGGCGACGCCTGTTGTGGCAGTTCACCGAATCGCTGATTGTCGCCGTCGGGGGAACCTTGGACATTCGACCAGACTTTGTCAATGTCAAAGTTCGCTGACGATTGGCGTCGATTGGTATCAACAGACGGCCTCGGTTTGCTTCCTTTGCTGGGAGCGGCTGGAGTGACGGATGGGCTCCTTACGCCAGGGCTTTTTGTATCTCCCTCCGGATCTGCGACACTGGGTTTCCGTACGGGAGCATTCGACGTCGCAGACTCTGCTGCAACCTGCCTTGACTCGTCCACGTACTCTTCCCCCTTGTGTGTTCGTCTGATCCTGGGGGCCTGCTCTTCCACAATGGTATGTTGTTTCTCCAGCTCTTTCATGACAGCCGCATCCTTTTTCTTCTGCTCATCGCTCGCCATGTCCTTCGGATCCATCGACGCAAGAGTGTGAGGGAGAAGATCTCCATTCAGTAATCGTACTCCTAACGTGCGGTTCTTCTTAACGTTAAAGCTTATTGCTCGCAATTGGGTCTTGTAGGCTTCGTTGGGGTCACCGCTCCCGCCGGCCTGGACGTGATACAACGCATGTTCCGTACGGAGGCCAATCTGGTTCGCGACTTCTGTCGCCGAGGTGCCGGTAGGAACAACGTAGTCGCCTTGCTTTACGGCTTCTTTGATTTGCTGTTCTATGAGCTTGATCAATGTGGACGCAGCTTGCTTCCTCGTATGTGTAAGTTCCTTCACATCCACCGCAACCGCCGAGACAGGCTCCGAGCTCGACACCTGCCTAGTAGGGGTCTCAGCCTTGACTGCTTTGGTGCCATTGGTATCAGCAGCTGGTGTCCCTCGTGCCTTCTTATTCTGATGGACTGTTAGCGGGTGTCTTTTGACTGGAGCGCGCGATATATCATACCTTCACTTCTGGGATAGATGGCGACTCTTCCAGTTTGCGCTTCTGTCCTGCCGCGGGAGTTTGCGCCGGGGTTTCGTCGACATCCTGAGAGGCGCGAGACACGACCTCACTTGACTGTCCAGTAGCCGACTTCCGACCTTTTCGACCTCCTTTCTTCTTCCCTTTCCCCGTGTCTCGCTGCCTGACTGCCTCCTCCCACGGCTTCTCCCCGCGCGCGATGGCTGCGACCAATTCCTCGTGGTCCTCGGGATGACATTGTTCGCAAAAGTATTGAGGGGCTTGATAGTCTTCCGGAAGACCCATACAACCATTATGTTGCCATGCTGAGCAGTTGTCGCAGCAGATCATTGCTCGGGGAACATCTTCCTCCTCTTCGTAGGTGCCGCAGACGCAGCGGATGATCTCTTCATTTTCCTCCTGTTCTGCCGCCTTGGCTTTGGAGTTCTTTCCTCTGCCCTTTTTCTTCGGAGGGGCGTCTTCAGCGATATCGCGATCTTTGGAGTATTGTCCTTTGGTGGCGCGACCAGATCGTCGCGGTTCTTCTGCGACTTGTGTTAGTGAGGTCCAACAAACCCGGGCGCGTGGCCGGCGGCGACCGAGGTAGATAATGGTACTGCTTACCAGCCATGGCGACAGCAATGACGAGTCGCTAGACACTACAATGTACACGAGACACGCAGGACGTGGGCGCTTGTCATCAACGACGTCTAGAATCGCGATCTACGACAAGTTCGCAAGGTGCAGAGATAGTGTCCACGAGACCAGTGGATGTACCTCCAGATTCGAGTAGACTAATAAACGCTGTCAACGGCACTCCTGCCACAGTCCTATGGAAGACAGTGCGCGATGGAATAACGAAGTCAACGAGTGTCCCGGTTTTAACGTTGTGATGGTGATATGGTGATGGGGAGAGGATTACAGACGGATCGTGAAAGTGGCAAGCGAACTCCTCAAGGTCTGAGCTGCGACGAACCACCGCCAAGAAAGCGGAGGTGCAGTGAAGACGCGAAAGTGGGATTGGTTGAGTCGGTTCGGTGCAACGAGGAGGGCCCGCTTAGCTGGCGCTAAAGCAGCGGCATAATAACAACGCCTTGACGTAACCAAAAGTAGGCATCCCGGAGATCCACCAAGTTTCATGTGGAATTGAACGATTGCCTTGGTGACAGACAATTCGAGGCCTTGCAGGTTTTTCTTTCTTTCCCGAAAACACGCAGGTCGTCTACTTTACAAAACAAATACTACCGGCGTTTGAAGTGCCCATCGGGGAGGCCGAGAAAAGGGCTAAATAAACCATGGCCGACGTCCGAGCCCTTCTTGCCGCAGAGCGGCAGGCTCGTAGAATATCCCACCCGCACCTCTCGTACACAAAGTCCGGTATGCTAATCTGTACTGTCTGCAACCTGAACGTCAAGTCCGAGGCCCTCTGGGAAGGGCACCTCAAGAGCGCGAACCACAGAAGAAACACTGCACAAGAGAATGCGAGTGCAAACGTCGGTGCAAACGCAGGCAAGGGGGTCAAGAGGAAGATTGAAGATGTTGATGACGACGAGACACCGCTAGAGCGCGAGGAAGCGGAGGTCGATACGCGGAAAAAGCCCAAATCACGACCCGAGAGCATTGCCGTGGTGGAAGATGGAAGGGTACAGATACAAGAAGACGGCGCGCCGAAGGAGGCAGAACAGTCAACTTCACATACATCCACGGCAGACGATGCACCTCTGCCTAATGGCTCCTCGCAACCACCTCAAATAGATGAGGACGAATGGGCGGCCTTTGAACGAGAGGTTGCTCCACTGGCCACAGCGCAGCCAGCCTACACCTCGGCCACTATCACCGCAGCGCCAGTCACAAATACCCAGCTCAAAGCTCAGGAAGAGGAAGACAGACGGCGAAAGTTGGAGACGGAAGCAGACGACGAACAGGAAGATGAGGAGAGAAGGATCGAGGAAGAATTTGATGTCATGGAGGAAATGGAGGAACGGGTTCGCAAGCTTCGAGAGAAGCGGGATGCGCTAAGAAGTGGTGTTAAGGCTGCAACAGATACAGGGCAGGAGGTGAATCCGACACCTCCTGACACCACTGTACGGAATACAGCAGAAACCCGCGCGGACGAAGAAGAGGACGAGGAAGAGGAAGAAGACGAGTGGTATTCGTGAGACTCATAATGCTGCCAAACTAGGAGCAAGCAACCTGGACATTCAATCGTCACTTGCTGACCGCCCTTGTGCAGAAGCTCTATAATGTTTGATGCTGATTTCCCTCAAATAAAACACAGTGCAAATGTGCAAGAATCAAGTAAAATCTTCGCCCATGACATCTTCTATCTCCACAACACCTGTCACTTCGTTATGGTCGACAATGCCGAGGAGAGTCCCTCGCTTGAGAAAATCTCTCCCACGACCTGACCCCTCGTCTCGCATCTGGTGGATCCATCTCTTGCACTCTTCGACAGGAGTGGAGCTAAGGACAGATATCCAGTCGGTCTTCTCAATCTCCATTTTGCCACATTCATCTTCCACGGCTGACACTGGTGCAGCGGGATCTCGTAGGTTTTGAATTCTTCGCGGGCCGATCATATGATTCTGAGAGGTTCGGACGAAACCACGAGGCGACCTCACTGCGGCCACAAGCACATCCAGGCACAAGAGCGGATGATTTGTTTGTGGCACCGCAATTGGGACCTGGGCCACTGCAGTCGCAAGTTCAGACATTCTGGCTATGTTGGGAGTCAACGTCTTGAAGGCAGCGCCAATTGCGCCGCCAGGATGGTTTGCCGCAAAAATGGCCGGCGTCTGAAGGCCTGCAGCAGCATGAAGTTCATCCGCGACTGCTAGCGCCAGGCTATCACCCAGAGCCAGGGTGATGGTCGTCGAGGTCGTTGGAGCTGATACTCCAAAAGATGAGATTTCAGATTCGTGAATGGTGGTAGGTAGAAGTATATTCGTCGAGGTCTGTCTTAGTGGGTAGGATAGAAGAGGGCAAGTGGCGGGAGTGAGATGCGCCGTCATGACGATTAATGGTACACAGGGGTCTATATGGGGAAGGAGAGACAAGAGTTCGGGCGTCCTCCCAGAAAATGTAATCATGATGACCGTGTCATTGGGTCGAACAACTCCCAAGTCCCCGTGGAGAGCCTCGACCGGGTGAAGAAATATGGCATGGATGCCCAGCGATACAAAAGTGGCGACGAGCTTCTTTGCAATATGCCCTGATTTGCCAACGCCAGTGAAGATGGTTTTTCCATGCCGAGTCTCTGAAAGAATGATCTGACGAATGCTTCGAAGAAGTGAATCCTGGACTTCGGCAGAACTGGTGTATAATTCCTCAAGATGGGAAAGCGCCTGTCGTTCAGTGGCGAGCACATGTAAGGCTTTCTTTATTGTTCGACTGTCCGGTTTGAACGTCTTCTCGTCAAAGCCTGCCGGGATATCGGGGGGCGTAATTGGCAAGGCTTCAATTTGTTCGGGAATAGGGCCATATAATGGCATAGAAGGCGTGAGTGGTGTTGGGAGAGAAGCCTGGAGAGTATAGGCCATTTTGAGAGGCAAGGCTCAACCTTTTGTGGTGAGGAATGGAGAGAGAAAAATGCCCGAGGTCAAATCTGCCACTTCCCCGTCTCGTCCGAAATGATGACAATTGTCTTCTATTAATCTGACAATTGGATCCGAGATGTACTCTGTCGTGATGATCGATCTGGAATGTGAGTATCGACTCTCAGCATCACCAGGGTTGTGGATCAACGATCTAGGAAGCGCAAATCAGACGGCCACTCCAGATTGCGAAGAGAGTATATCGATATCATGACGCCATAGATGTTGCAAAATAGGCAACAGACACGGAGAGGCACGCGTACGACTTGGTAGGCCTTGTGGTTTGGGTAGGAGAATAACGGAGGAGTGACAAGGAGGAGGATATCAATTGTTTTTTTTTGCCCGATCAACTTATCGTTGTCACTGCGACCATGGGGGAGAAATGCCGACAAGGGAGTGGAGGACCAGAGAAAGGAGGGGCCAGACTTTTGGGCTCTCTTGGCCACCCGACTTGCGATGAGTGTACCGCTGCTGCGGTGCCTGTTTTGTGCCTATCAGTGGAGGAAGTCGATGGACTTGGGAGCTCGGAGGGGATGGCGAGAAAGAAAGTGGGTTCTGCGGTGAGGGTCGATTTGTCTAACCCCAGCGAGGAAGAAAAAGAAACGGTCCCCAGTGAGATAAGGTTTCTGGCGGTGTCGAGTCTTTGAACTGGCGGAAAGACGAGAGAGATTGGTCAGTTTCAGGGAGAGGCCGCTAGATAAGTAGGTGAGTAGCACTCTGCGAGATCCTGTACCTCGTAGTTGGTCCAGCGACCCAAAAGGAAGAGGGTCTCTCACCGGGGGGTTTTGAGGGTGGATTGATTACGGAGTATTCGGTACGCGTACTGCCTGGGTGCAGACGAACAGGGATGGTCGATGGCGCAATTGACGAGGAGGAGGACGCAAGAACGCATAGAACGGCAAAAAGGTTTGAATTAGACGACGGGACGGAGCACGGAGCGAGTTCGGAAGACATAGTTAGGAGTATGAGTAGAGTACAGAATGACTGAGTAGTAGGAAGGTACCTGCTACGAGTAGATAGCAGCACCAGTAATGCATTGGACTCCCAAGCACAACTAGAGGGGTAGAGGCGGAAAGAAGGGGAAAGAGTCATAAAGGGGGTTACTGCGAGCGGAAACGTTTCTTGGGAGCGAGTGATGATGGGAAAGGCTGTTTGCGTAATGAACTAACTACTTCATTACTTCCTTTTGCCCCATTTACCAGGGCGAACAGTACCTCTATAAGGTACCTAGCTACATATGTAGGTACCTACGAGTAATCCGTCCAGGTAGGATTGAAAAGCAGAGGCATAGGGACACCCAACAGGGAAAGCACTAGGCAGGCTGCATAATCAACCCTTGCGCCCAAGTTTAGTTAGAAACTCCGCCCAGGCACACCTGAGGCACAACTGCTGCACCTTGATCGAGCTTGTCTCTGAGGAATCCTTGTCGTTCTTTATTCTTTCTCCACTTGTCCTGCTCAAGTCAATCACCACCCACCACCCACCACCAAATGTGCATATATGTATGTACATGCAGTGGTCGTCCTGCGCTCTAGCACGACGCAGCCTGCCTCACCTTCACAGGTCTCTTGCCTTTCCGCAGCCTGACATCCAACGGCTTCCCGCGACCATTCATTCACAGGCATCTCTCTATCTCTGCCCAGCCGATTCAAGTGCTGTTGTACAACTACTCGGTACTGTACCTCGTACACTAATCAAACCCAATCACCTCGGCTACTCTCAGCATGTGCGCCATGTGCTTGGTGTGCCAGGGCCCCAAACTTATACGCATGCGGAATTATATGCTCACGACAAACCCCTTCTGTACCCCTCCTCCCTCCCTTCCCTCTCGTACCTCTCTACCTAGGTTTAGACACTGCATCGCTCAGACCGCTAGAACTTGGAAGCCGCATGCAAGGAAAACGCGACCCACCGCGGCATGCAGGTTGAAATTTAGAACCTGGTCAACGATGCATTCGCTTAGTCTCCCAACCAGATACTTTATCTGCGGTACCTGATCTACGGTTTGTGTAACAACGCTAAAAATGCTGAGTTGGCACATTTCGAGCATACCCTGCCATGGCGCATGGGCTTCTTGAGCGGAGGCCGATAAGTCGGCTAGCGAAGCCCACCTCGTTGTCATCGAAGACATGCACCAGCCTTTCAGCTATCATTTTTGTTGTGTGGCTCCAGACTTGACGATGCACTCAAACAGAGCAATGCATGGTGACCGATAAGAGAAATGCCAATGACTGGACCAAGATCCCCATCATGATCGGTCTGACGTGGACGCTATAACATCATTCCATTAGAACTGCTGACTTCAAACAACACATACATATGCTGCACCCCGACAGCATCAAAGAACCTGTGACTGTCTGGCAGCCTATAATTCAACCCTGTAGTTCTTTATCCTGGCTGTGGCTGTGAATCTCCAAGATACCTGTCCCGTATAACGTTGCCTCTGAGGAGTTCAGCCTGAGAGCAAGTTTGCCAATCCTGCAGCACTCGCAATCCGCGGACAGCATTGTATGCCGCCGGCGCTCCGTTCGATCGAGTCGAGTTGATAATCCTCCGACAGAAGTTGCGCGAGGCTGGGCTTGTTGCACAGGGATATGCCATATTCCGTCAACAGATGTATCTGACTGCGAAAGAGTCACGAACTCGACAACCACTCTTTCTTTCCCTCCTTCCCTCTGTCCTCAAGTCAGGAGTTACTCTGAAAAGTCGTGATTTCCGTCTTGAACATCCATGCCAGGCTGTCAGAGAGCTAGATGGCCTCCCAACCCACCCGTCGGCCATAGCCGGTATTTGCTTTGACCGCTACTCACCGCCACAGTGTGTAGACTTCTCCTCCGGAAAGGTTTCCCTGGGGAACTCGAACCTCAAGCCATCATCATGGGCCGAGTCTCTGGTTCATCGCACGAATAGTTTTGCCGTCTTGTTTCCAGTATTCACCGCCGCGAAAAAAAGGACTTTTTATCCAATCCAGAATCATCATCTCCGCCAGGAGGCGTTCGTCAGACATCCAGCGAACTCCGATTTCATGCAAAATGCTGCTTCTCTTCAAACGGTAGTCTTCGTGGTCAGGGAAAGTCGTCCAGGATCAAAGCTCCCTTATGCGGGACCGCTTTCATGTGTTCCAACGCTTTCACCTCCCTTCTCTTTGCAAAGTCCAATATCGGTTCGAAGTTCCGGCATTTGTGTTCGCGGAAGAAGTCGGGGAATTGTTTCGGAGGGTTCCCAACCCAGACGAAGGGAAGGAGGCCCGTGTCAGAGCTACACATGAGAGCTTGGCGGAGTGTGTCGAGGCAGTGCCCTATTATAGACACACAAGAGATGGTCAGTCGGAGTTGTTTTTGGTCCGAGTGAACAGGACAAACGAATCTCTCGCGCAGAGTTTCAAAGGGAAAGCACTCCCGCCTACCTATATGGAGTTTGACGATGCTCTCCCCATCGGCGAACTCAGCAATATTATTGGACATGTAGTACTCGTAGTTGAACCAAAGGCCGCGGCGCAAAAGATTCTAGGTCCGGGTCAGCGATAGTTTGAGCATTGATGCCCTGGAGAGGCTGTTAGGGTGCACATGCGATGGACTCCTTACCAAACAGTGGATCTGGTGTGTTACTTCGACAAAGGCCACATATCCGGGTCCTCCATAGTCCTCTCCCACCATAACACGGTCCAACTCTAATCCAGACCTTTTGGCCTCGTCGACCGATAGGACAATGCCTTTGACTAGAACCCGACAGGCGTGTCAAAAACCATGTTCAACCAGACACTAATCGGTGACCGCTTCAAGTTTGAAGTCCAGAACCAGAATGCGAGGTCGAAGTGTGTTAGACTCACGTTCAGTGCCCAGCTCCTCCCACGCGGCGTCGACTTCGGGACTCGCGGGCTGTCGATAGATGGACTCCTTGTAGAAAGACGCGTTGAACCGCCTGCTGTTGTAATGGATTTCCACGTCCTGCTCAACGGGACCTGAGACATTCAAGGTCAGTACAAAATATATCTCAGAGGACTCGTAGGTCTCATGCTCACTCCAGGTCTGTGAGGTATGAGCGGTGCACACCCTGTCTAATTGACTATGTCGGTAAACTCGAGCACCATAAAATGTGAATGCGTTGGACACGATGAGGACAAAGGCGCAAAAGGTCAACCAGAGAAGCTTCTTGGATTTCGAAACCGGCGTTTCACGGGTCAGGCCTCTTTCGATGGAAACATCCTTGAGATCCTGCAAGAAGGGTACATTGGACTCTTCATACGAATCCATGATTGGGTCAACAAACACCTGCTGTTTGACTTGGAAGACGAGGCGCAATGGTCACTTGGCACCCAATAATACCAAGTCTTTGCAGTCAACATCGACAACGGAAGGCCTCAAGTCGAGGGAATCTCCAGAAGATAACCCTTGGACAGAGTCCAGGGGGACTGGGCGGCTTCCTCCCGGTCGACGATACATGGCGAGTGTTTGATCTTTTTTTGGAACCGGCAAATGGCCATTCGATCAAAGTGGAAAGGAGACTCCCAGTAAGGTGTGGCGGTTTGACCTAGCTGTGAACCTGGAGAGTGGCCGGCCCCCCACAAGATGTTGCTCAGGGTTAGAAAGCAGAGTGGCAGACCACTGCGGTTGAATGTTCGCGTGGTGTTGTGTAGTCGTACGCACCACTTTGTATGTACGGGTATCAATCATCACACCAGAGACATAATAGCGCCCACCACGGTTATCATTGTGGATATGGGCAAGCTATGGCAGGGACTTTGTCACAATCGCAGAGAAGTGAGATTGTAGATTTGTTTCAGCATTCAGACGTGGCAAACACTTGGATGATTGGGGCAACCAAAGCAAAGGGCGAAGACTCTTGCTGCAAAGGCTTCACTATCCGGGTTTGGGTCATGTTGACGCTATCGTGAGACTCAAGCGTGTATACCGAGTAGAGAAACTCGCATCTCAGATCCTTCGGCAGGCAATATCGATTGGCTTAGATGGACGGCCTCGACAGGCTGCGTCTGGCGCCAGCTCCGGCTCCTGCAGGGAGGGACTAACAGGTGAATAATAATACAACAAGTACGTGTCGACATGGTCCTTGGTCATAACGTCTTGCCTCCATCTGAACAAGGATACGTGAATACCAGAGAACAATGAAGTGGACAGGACAGGTGGACGTCACAACTCCAGCCTCTGCTAGGAGTCGTGAACTGCGACCTGCCCGCAGCAGCAGCATTGGCAGTGGAGCTCCCGCCAACCGCCAACAGCGGGCATCCCGCAAAAGTCCAGAAGCAGCATCGGCCACCTACCTACCAACATCTTTTTGAACCGGATCAACAACCTCAAACTGCGCTCGTGTTCCCTTGACATTACAGCTTTCAATCAACACACCCATTCACAGGCAATCATCTTATCCGATCCCAAGAGCTGCTGATCTCATTCTGCACCTCTCGATCGATGGGCGCGAGATAATGCCGTCGGCTTCCCCCTCTCCCATCAAACGGCCCTCGCTAAACGAACGCACGTCCTCTACCCATTCACTGAGTTCCTCAGGCAGACAGGCCACCACCACCACCCACAAAGTCCACCGACCTCATGTCGTCAACCGCCATTCAAGAAATGTCTCTCACGGAAAAGGACTTAGCAAACTAGGCAAAGTCCAATCTACAGCCAGCATCACTTCCGACTATCAATCTCATCATCAGCGGAAAAAGTCAGGTGGCACCTCGCCCTCGCACAGCCCAAAAACGCCTCTAGTCAAACGGAACAGCTCCCATGTTGCCTTGGTCAAGAATACCTCGTACGGGAACCTGCGCAAGAATCAATCCGCCAATGCGTTGCCGCGGAATGTCTCTCATGGGGCTCTAAAGAAGGTTGGACTGACTCCAGTAATAAAGAAAAAGAGCAAGGGAGATAAAGATGGTGTGTTCCAACTTGGAGATCGGTCTTCAGATGACGAAGAGGAGGGTGAATGGGAGGATTCAACCACGCAATCGCCCGAACTCACGCGCAATAATTCGAAGACTTCCACACCTGCGCGGGCACATACTCCGAATGATGAGACAGCTCCTCGAAACCCTCCAGGTGCAGACATCAGCCGTCCCGAAAAGGGCTCCTCACCTCCCCAAGCCTCTTTGAAGACCAAGAATCGGTCAGCACCGAATCTGAAGAATGAGCCGGTCGTGTCGCAGCTACAGAACACACCCGATCCGCTACTTCTTCAACAGTATCCACGTTCGTCTCGTGCCCCTCCAGCAATGTCGACGGTTTCTGCTCACGTTGGACCGAGCCAATTGGTGCGCAACGACTCGTCCAGATCCTTCACCCACATCTCTCATGCCGACGCTACGTCGTCAACAACCAACGCCGGTCACAGTGGTCTTACTCCTACCTCCGGAAAACGCACACCTGCGTCGACCGGCCTGTCTGGGCCTGTTCTGGTGTCCTCGTCGGTAGAAGGTGGTGTCTCACACTTCCTGCCTACAGATACCCCAGTTGGCTCTGTTCGTCACATTGCAGACGACTCGGATGAAGACTCGCCATCGAATTTCCTCTCCAACTACAAGCCGCAAGCGTCGGAATCTCCGGAGAAGACCAAGACTCTCCATAAGGCACGGATTTCTCAGAATCCGTCTAGAACGCAACAGAAGCTAGAGCTTCAGAGAAGGGAAATCATGAGAGCGGGAGCTGCGACACCCACAACTCCTCCCCCTGCTGGGATGGGACTCCCTCTCGGTTCTGCCACGGCGTTACATGGGCGTGCGGGGTCCCGAAACAGGACTCGATCTCTGGCCGGGGAGATGAAAGCTGCAAAGCAGGATTATGAAAGTGCCATCAAACAGTTGATGGTGGTCAGGAGGTTCCGGAGTCCACTAATTGAAAGCATGAACCGACTCAAGGAGCATAATTCTCTGCCACAAGACATAGGCTCCGTGACTGCGAGTGGCGCAATTCCCAAGAGCAGACCCCAGAGCCGGCGTGGACCCAGCATCACCAGTGTGAACGGGCATGCGAAGACAGGGGTCAGCCGCAGTTTCGACGACACAAAGCCGTCGCCAGGGATGTCACGCTCTAACAGCACCCGCCACGGGGGTCGAGTCCATTTCCAGCGGCAGAGTAGCCATGACGATATCGAGGTGACACCGTCACAGGGGAACGGCGATGGTGCACAGGACGATGAGCATTTCGGGCTTTCACCAGAAGAGGCATTAATACGGCGCATTTGGGATAGCCGGGAAGTGTATGATGCTGGGGATCCTGGATCGGCTTGAAGACTCCATGACCAGATACTGGTACTTCGACCCCGAATGCATGTGGCAAACGGATGCTTTTCTATTTGACATTTTTCATGCTGCTCGTTACTATTCTTCTGCGTTTGAGCGCGTTATGACTTAGCCGTTGCGGTTTCTGCAGTCCACAGGCCGGACTTTGTAAAAGGGAAGTGCAGCATGGGATCCAAAGTTTGAGGGTTGTTTTTGCACTTGAGTTATGTGTTGTTGCTGACTATTGGCATCTTGGTTCTTTGGGGCGCCTTCCCGGCCTGGAACATGTTCAATTAATCATGCTCGGTACAAGTAGCTAGGTATACGGGTGCCCAGCTACTCGTTGTGGCTATGGGCCTTGTCCAGAGGGTTCCCAGTCCCCCATGTCCGCTCATGTGCCCCGCCGACTCCCGGAAACGGCCTAGACTTGATCGTTCCCTCTCGGCCTTACCGTTTCCCAATGTTAGTCGTTTGTACTTTTGCTCGCGTCTTTCCGAGCATTGTTCCCCGTTGATTCGCCCACCTCGTCAAGTCCCCCAGTGCAATGTCGGCAACATTCAAGGCCATTGCCTTGCTTTGCCCCTCTTATGCGTATTGCGACACTTGATTGGGACGTTTGGCTGATGGGCTCCATGCTGCAATGATCGCCATGCGACGCTTTGAGGGTTGAAAGCTTTCGCACAATCAGTGCAGGGCCGCTTCGCCACTGTAAGGTTGCTTCGGCGTCCATTTTCTCTCCTCTATTGTCTCCATCGTGCAGCACACATGGTCCATCCATGTCGATCAAACGCTCATGGCACTCGGGTGGGTTGGCTTATACGAGGCTCTCGCGGTACTTTCACATATCGGCCCTCCCAGGTTTCCGGTAAGGCCTTAGTATTAAAGGCGTCCGCTCCTCCGATTTCCCATGTCTCGAAAGACACCGCGGCCTTCAATAAGAACTTCAGGTCAAACCTGTAAGACTGTTATTGTGCAGCAGCTTTTGTCACCCTTCCACACTCGTACAGGCACAGTTCAGGCTCCGTCCCCCACCATGGCAGCTCCATCACCTTCGTATAGCCATCACCCGTCGTCTGATTCAAATCACCACGACGATGCCAATTCGCCCAATCTCCCATACGATCCTCCTCTCACCTTCTCCACGGTCATCGACCATGACCACAACAGCATCAACAAATTCGCGGGTCGCCTCCTCCGGGCCAAGGCGCCGCAGGACCGCGCTCGTCTGCTAAAGGAGGTAACGTGGCGCCTCGTCCGGCACGACGTCTCAGAGGACCTTGTCATGCGTCCCGCATTCATCGAGCACCTCGGTGACGAGGGCGTGCATATGGCCGAGCACGACCGGACGGACCACGAAAGAGCTCGCTCCGAACTTCTCGCGCTCTTCCACGTTCCACTTGAGGGGGACAAATTCCTCGTTGCCCTGCGTGCACTGTTTGCCGAGCTGTTGGAGCACATGAAGATCGAATCGGGTCAGCAGATCCCACATTTGGAACACATGCTGGACCCCGAGGAGAGCCAGAGGCTGGGCAGGGAGTATCTCAAGACCCAACGCCTCACGCCGGAGCTGGAGATCGTCGACAAGTCCACCGGCGCAAGAAGGAGGGTGTGGAGGGACGTGGAGGACTTTGCCAGGACCGATCTCTACAGATTCAAGGAAATTTGGGAGGAGTTGAAGTTGAGTGAGGGACCGGTGGACGGGCAAGCTCAAGCCCTCCACAGGAGGCTTGATCGGGGAAAATTATAGTGGACCACGCAGCCGTGGTTTCCATCTTATGAGGGCGTTCTGGTCTGGCTAGGTGGGAGGGACGTTGCTGTATGGTGCCGCCGTCAAGGGAGAAGATTTGCTATTACATCTGTGACTACATACATGCTTGTGCAAGGTCAAATGAGACAAATGACTGAATGAACACCATTCTCTTCACCGTGTCACCAACATTGGGATTACTCCCACTGATAGATACATTGCGCGAAATTCGCTCAAATACCGATATTGACTTTAGATGCATCACCAATCTGGAATCAGCTCGTTGCTCTGCGAACTGTCCTCGTCCAGAACCTTCCTCGCGGCCTCCCTTCCCCAAACAGGCAGCCTCTCGACCTCATCCTCCCGCCCTTCCTCGGCTGTCTTGAACGTCTTGGGAACGTATTTCGGATCCAGCAGTCCGATCTGCACGAGCACGGTCGCCTGGTCCCAGTGGATGTGCTCGTGGAACAGCCTGCCACCACGGAAGGCCACCACGCTTACTAGCACCACTTCCACTTTTTTGTCCGTGGGCGGCACGCCGGGCAGCATCCAGGGGATCTCGGTGGTGTGGGTGAAGGATACGAACATCTCGTCGACCACCCTGTTGACGCCCACGGTCCGGCTCAGCAGCCTGATCCGCATGTCTGGTGGGTTGTTGGGCATGAAAAATTCGTCGTAGAACCGGCGAAGCTGGTCGTGTCCGATCCCGCCCGTCATGGTGGGCACATGGTTCACGTACGGCTGAGGCACCATGGTCGCCATGGTCTTGTCGGCGTCCTTCTCCCCAAACTCGAGTCGCGTGTGAGCTTCCCAGATGGTTTCGATGTCTGGTCCCTCGATGTCGAAGGCCAAGCGAAGCACACCAAGTGTTCGGGACCAGGCCAACGAGGCACCGATCTTGTCGAACTCGTCCAGGTCGTGTTCGGCGAACCCGGGCTCGGTATTCTCATAGCGGTACGACGGGAACCGGGTGCCCCATCTCTGCGAAGCGGCCAAGTGGATCAACACATTCAGGGTCGGAGGGAAACCGGTTGTGGTCTTCGGGACATGGTCTGGGTAGTAGGCGACTACGGCAACAAGCTTGGGCATGGGCTTCATACAGGCTTCCAGAACCAGGCTTGCGGCGTCGCCGTACGCTGGAAAGAAAGAACACCGTCAGATCCTTTGGAAAGTGAATGATTATTGAATCTTCGGGGAGAGTCGTGACCGAGAGCGGCTTGACACAGGATCGGAGTCGATGGCTGTCTCGAGCCTACGCTATGTTCTGTAGCTCACTCACCTACGATGGCGTAGCGCTCCCCCAGCTCCAAGGGGTCTTGTAAGTGTTGCAGCTGTGCCATATAAGACGCCTTATCTCCTGTATATTGGAGATAGCTCAGCTGAAAACCTTCCTCCTGGAAGTATGATATGATCGTCGGATCAAAATCTTCAGTGTCACTTGTCAGGACAAGCCGAGGAGTGGTCGTCGTCCAGCTCAGATGGACACTCCGACCACCTCCCCTTATCCTCTGCCGGATCTGTTGCTTGAGGCGCCCGACATCTCCCGGACGGGTGTCAACATCAATGATGGGCCTGCCGCCAATTTCTACACGCACCATGTTGTTTGGGGGCACACAGTGTGAGAGTGACTACAAGAGGAGGAGATGAGAAGAAGAGAATCGAAAGATCGAGTTGGAAATCCGGTGATTGACGTTCTTAAAACTTGGCTGGTCTATCCCAGTGATATGTCGAACATGACGTATGGGTTCGGTAAATCCTTTCAGCCTTGCGTCTTCTATCAAGCCAATCACAGAAGACAAGGCTGAGTGTCTGTGCGGGCGGGCCTGGAGGTGCGAATTTGTGTGGTTGACTCAATTCCAAGTCGTTGAAGTTGTCGTCTCCAAGTAATGGCTTTGTACAGGAGATCGCAGCTGCTAAGCTCTCCCTATCGGCAGCTGCTACGGCTCAGCTACCAAACACGCAAGAGTTCTTCTGGTCGAGATAAGTTCTTCCGCATCTCTGAAGAAGTGCAGGATGCCCTTGCAACGGGCAAACCGGTCGTTGCACTGGAGACTACAATCTACACACATGGTACAGCATACAGCCTAATACAGGTCGTTCAAGGCTCACACCTCACCAGGGTTCCCCTACCCTGAAAACGTTGCTCTATCCTCCCACCTGGAATCCCTCGTCCGAGTCAATGGCGGCGTGCCCGCAACCATCGGCATCCTCGAAGGCAAAGCCTGTGTTGGCATGGGTGCTGAAGAGCTGATACAACTTGTCTCGACTGCTGGTGACAAGAACACATGGAAGATATCAAGACGAGACTTGGGTTTCGTCGGAGGACTGGGTCTTCGTGGTCAAAAGCTCAATGGAGGGACAACCATCGCTGGGACGATGATTCTTGCCCATTTGGCGGGCATCAAAGTCTTCGCCACAGGCGGTCTCGGTGGTGTCCATCGTGGAGGAGAGAATACTCTGGACATTTCCGCAGATCTGACGGAACTTGGGCGAACGCCCGTGGCTGTGATCTCAAGTGGCTGCAAGAGCTTCCTCGATATTCCCCGGACGTTGGAATACCTGGAGACCCAAGGAGTGGGTGTGGGCACCTTTGCAGATGGCCGGCAAGGAGACGTCGACTTCCCTGCCTTTTTCTCCCGCGACAGCGGCGTCAAAAGTCCAAAGACCATTCAAGATGAGGCGGACGCCGCGGCGATCATCTACGCACAACAGGGGTTTCCTCTTCACTCAGGATTGCTCTTCGCCAATCCTGTCCCAGAGGAATCTGCAATGGCAAAGGAAGAGATTGACTCAATTATTGCTGCAGCGGTCGCCGAAGCTGAAGAGAAGGGCATTGGCGGAAGTGCCAACACCCCCTACATCTTGAAGCGGATCCGAGAGTTGAGTAAGGGCGGGAGTGTACGGGCAAATGAGGCTTTGATTGAGGCGAACGTCATCCGTGGAACCAAAGTCGCCGTCGAATTGGCGAAGCTCGAGCGACGGGGCGGAGCTGCGCCTCAGCGGTGAGCCAAGTTAGACCTTTGATAGGATAGACGGGGCACTTGCTGACACGATCTAGAGAGGATGCCAGCGAGGTCATCGGCAGTAGGAGTTTCGCCAAATCTATAAAGAGCCCTCAAAGAGGCGCGGGCAGCCAAGCAGATCCCGCACCTGCCACCGTTCAACAGTCCTTTCAGCCAGTGGACATACTGGTTGCTGGATCCCTCGCAAGTGATACAATATGTGATCATCAACCACTGGAAATCACACCAGATTCCAACACGCCAACGCTTCACACATCAAATCCGTCCGCCATCTCTCAGTCCCCGGGTGGGGTCGGCCGTAATGTTGCCATGGCTGCTCATCTAGCAGGTGCGAAAGTCACGCTGGCGAGTGTTGTGGCAGACGACCTTGCTGGAGTATCCCTTCTTGATCACGTCGAGAAGAGCGGCCTGGGGACTACAGCAATCCGACGTGTTCCCACCAACGACGGCGCACGAACAGCACAATACGTCGCTGTCAACGCCACAAACAAAGATCTCGTACTTGCCATGGCAGATATGTCAATATTTGCTCGCCCAGAACTCGTATCGGCAGAGTACTGGATGGCGAAAATGGACGAAAGCAAGCCAAAGTGGGTGGTTGTCGATGCAAACTGGTCTCCCGCCATTCTCTCATCCATCTTGACGGCTGCGAAAGCCCACCAAGCCCTGGTTGCATTTGAGCCTGTCTCCATTGCCAAAGCTGCTCGTCTTTTCGACAAGGACAACTCTGCCATTGTCAGCGCTAACGTCGTACCAGATCACGTTGTTAGCCTCGCCTCTCCCAACAGACTCGAGTTAACAGCAATTTACAACGCGGCCAGAAATGCGCTGATGTTCGAATCGGAGCAGTGGTGGAACACCATCGACAGCCTCGGCCTCGCTGGCTCGGGGTCTCGGGATCGATTGATTTCTGTTGCAGGCCTTGACTTGGTCGAACGTGGGGTCCCCCAACAGTGCATCCAGCTTCTCCCATTCATCCCAAACCTGGTGACAAAGCTCGGGCATAAAGGGTGTCTCTTGGCTTGCCTGCTGCGACCCGGTGATCCAAGACTCACGATGCCAGAGAGCGCCCCATATGTGCTGTCGAGAAATTTGTCTCACGACTCTGCGATCGGCGGCTTGTATATGCGGTTGATCCCGCCGTTTATTGAAGTCGAACAGGACGAAATAGTCTCTGTCAACGGCATTGGTGACACAATGTTGGGTGTTATCGTCGCAGGCCTCGCGAAGGGTCGCACGCTCGAGGAGATGCTGCCCATTGCACAAGAAGCAGCGGTGCTCACACTGAAGTCTGCAGAGGCTGTATCACCCGATGTCCGGCAAATCCAGGCAAGGCTCATGTGAGGCGCAAGGCTTTCTTTTGGTCAAGGCTGAGAGTTTAACGAGCCAATCCGATCGCGTCTGTGGCACGAAGCGAACCTTGATGCCTTAGTCAGCACCCGCGCCCCGATACCGCATCCGTGCGCATCCCAGCCGCCGACTTTGACTATTTCTCGCATCAGACCATCCCAACCCATGGGGATATCAGGTCAATGCCTCTCTCTAGACTGCGCATCATCGCCAAAGGCATCGCTTCAACGTCGCAATGGTCGGATTTCTGTCTACAATCCAGATAACCCTTTTCTTATCCCCGTTGGCAGTGTGGACAAACCCCATCGTCCACAGCCTCGACGGACATCCGGCGGATTCCGCAGCTTCAGTTCAGTACCTCAACATATCCGCATCAACGTCTCAGATCAATATCCCCGGCACAGAAAGTGGGACAGGTGCAATCGCTGCGCGACAAGCGTCCTGTCCTGACCCATCCACAAACTCGCTTTGCCCTCAAAACTTTTGCTTCATCCTGCAACAGAACAGCGACAGCTCGGCGTGGGCAACGTGTTGTCCCGCTGGCTGGGTGCTTCGGTTGGACTCGGCAGACTGGTCAACACAGAAGTGTCAGTTCAATGGAGTCTCAGAACCACCTCTGCGGCCCCTGAGCTGTGGCAGCAGTGGGGGGATATTTTCTGGATGGGCATGTGTCTACTCGAATCAGAGCGTCAGTGGAGGTGAGAAGACGCAATGGTCGACGATTCTTGTTACGGCAGTCGCACTTTTCTGGTTCGGTTTGAGTTGGCATTCGTAACCCCGAGTCCCCAGTCGGTGTTCAGCTCAACAGGCACGCACGGCGTTCAAGGCGCAGCAGAAGACGGGCACCAGAGTGGGAGACATGGGCTGCGTGGACACCACCACGCAGGGACACAACGGCACAAGTCGACATGTCCTCCGAAGATATACGAGTTGTCGTGGAGGATCTGCATGGTTTGAGCGCATCTGATTGCTGTTTACGATACCCACGATGACTACATGACCCCGACGGATCGGTGCTCTAATGCGCCACGAGTCGTGGGACTCGCTTATGTAGAAGTATATCTCGACTATTGTTTCCCATTTTCCCCCTTGGACCTTTCTCTTCTTCTTTTTGAATAGTGCAGAATTGTTTGTTCTTGGGAATCGCTTCACTCGACCCACCAACCACCGCCCACCCCCCCTCCCCCTCGGCGACCTCGGGGTCTACCCTTTTTTTGCATTTCCCAAACCATTCCGCCGGTTCCCTCTTTTTAGTGGGGTCTCCCAAGTCCCTCCTGTTGCCCCCCCAAGGCCGCGCCGGGCCAAGACTTGTCCGAGAGCAATGGTTCTCGGTAACCCTCGAAATGGGCGGATGGTGACGTCGACGAATCAGCGCCTTGTCCGTTCGGGGATGTCGGCCCTCGTTCGAACTGTAAAAAAAATGTCGGATCCTCTCCTCCTCCCCAAAGGACCCAAAGGAAAGGGAAGCCGTGGGTAGGTACGTGGATGGAGGAGGATGGAGGGGTTTTGACTTCCTCGATGCAAGGGGACGTAAAGGGGACACAAGGGAAGTGCATTCCGTGGTGTGGTGGTGGTGGTGCTCTCTGTCTCTCCCTCTCTCAGCTCTCTCTCCCAAGCTCGGCCCATCTGGAATACTGATTGATATTGAGTAATCGGTTTTTGTTTTTGTTATTTTTTGGTTTTGTTATTGCTTTGCCCTCGACCTTCCGTGGGCGGTGCTTCTTTGACCTTCCCAACCCCCATTCCGTCCCATCCCTCCTTCGCCTCCCCTCCCCTCTGGCCAGAAGGGGGGCGACCGGCCCTCCTTTGCTGAGAAACCAGGTCCCCGATGACAATTACACAGCAAAGGAAGCCTAGGGAATAAAGGAGGGGCAAGAAAAAGGCAACGGAAGAAACTACTGGTTCAGGGGGAGGGAATGCTGGGTATTGCAGATTAGTCTTTTAGTGGTTTTTTTTTTTGGTTTTCTCTGGTGCCCGTCCGTGGGTTGATCCTCCGGATATATGTATTGTATTTGAAACAACGAGATAGTACTACCTACCGAGTTAGTATGTAGGGTGTGGTGTACACCGTGTCCGTCCGTTCAATTTGCTTGTTTGATCCCCGGCCGGACATACATATATGTACTGGTTCGGTTCGTCATCATCATACTATATATTTGTCACGCTTCCCTCCCCCCCTTGCGGCGTGCCGAACCTAGAAGATCTTCAACTCGAAGTCAGTCCATACTCGAGACCCGCAAGTAACGTCGACAAGTAAAACGACAAAGGAAGACTCATCAGTGTCTACCAAGGAAACCGAGGGAAAGCGAACAAATACATACAATCCGAGCAGGAGACGACGACGGCGACGACGTCGAGATACACAAACAAAGATGTGCATGCAGAGAACGTGTCCTACTTGTCGTAAGTCACCAAGTCACCTCTCCGCCCAGTCTATCCACCATCACCCTCTCATGGCCTCATCTCCGCGGAACACAGCCCTTCTCTCTGCTCTTTCCCCTCCTTCTCTTCCCTCCTCTTTTTCCTCCTCCCCCTACATAGATCCAAGACACCCAGCCTCTTCCCTTTCCTCCCTTGACCGCCCTTGTGTTGGGCTCTGTGCCAAACCATCCTCTATCTCCAGCCTCCCCTGCGGCCGCTCTGCCCCGATCGCTCTTCCGCTCGTACTGACGCCTTGAGCAGAGAAGACAACATGGTGGGGCTGCGGAAGACACATCCCCAGCGTCATGGACTCGATACCCAAGGGCGCCTGGTGCACCTGTAAGCCCACGGTCGAGGTTGCCGGGCAAGTGTACCCGCCGAAGCAGGGCACGGGGCATCCTGGATAGCTTGCCTGTCTGCCTTCCTGTTCGTGTCTGTGTCCGTGGCACGCATGGACAAGGACAGGGAAAGCAGGAGGGAAAGGGGAATGGGGATGGGAATGGGAAAGTGAGGCGGCATGGAGCGGTGTTTGTGGGTTCATTTTGACGGAGGATAGACAGACAAGGTGGACGGGATGCATGTTGCAATATGGACATGGGTAATGATCATCATGGGAAAACAGGTCAGGTTGCTGAAGCGAGGAACGGGTCCGTTTTTGTTCTCATTGTGTTGGCTGGGGTTTTACCTTTGACTTTCCTTTCTGAAAATACCACACCAACAGTGGCGAGGCAGTGGGTATACATACAAAGATACCGAATACCCGCAAAGCTTTCAATGCCTGGTCGTTGCGCAGCTCAAGCTCAAGCTCAAGCTTCAAGTGAACACGATACCGCCGTCAATGACAATGGTCTGACCCGTAACAAATTCTGCGTCTTTGGAGCACATGAACCCACCGACGACGTTGCCGACGTCCTCTGGCACGCTGACGCGGCCCAACGCCGTCAGATCCGAGCTGTACTTCTTGACCGATTCGCCCTTCTGTCTCCCCTCGATCTCGCCTAGCTTCTCGTCTATGAGATCCCACATGGCGGTCCCGACAATGCCCGGCGCGTAAGCGTTGACGTTGATCTTGTGTTTGGCCATCTCCATCGCAAACACTTGTGTGAGGCCCCTCACCGCCCATTTCGACGCGCTGTAGTGCGACAGGAGCGGGAACGGCTTGAAGGCGACGATGCTCGCCGCACCCAGGATCTTGTACCCACTGCTGCCCTCGGGGACCGGCCCCTGCGAGATCATCTGCCTGGCTGCATGCGTATAGCACAGCCACACCCCCATAAAGTTCACGTCGAACATTCGGCGGACGTCTGCGTCCGAGATATCCAGTGCTGGCGCGACCTGCGCGATGCCGGCGTTCGCGACCATGACTGTCAGGGGACCGAGTTTCTCTACCGACTCTTTTATCATCGACTGCACTTCCGACGAGGAGGTTACGTCGGCGACCACACCAATGGCAGCACCGGAGCCGTGTTTGGAGTTGAGCTCGGACACGAGTTTGTTGATGCCGGACTTATTGGCGGAGACGTCATTGACGCAGACCGCGTAGCCCTCTGCCGCGAGTCGTCGAACGATCGCTTCGCCGCTGGGGAGGGACGAGTAAGGTCAGTGAGAGACACCCAAATGTTTGGGCGGCTTGGTGGTACACCTACATCCCACGGGATGAGCCCGTCACAATTGCTGTCCGCTTGGCCATTTTTTCTGGACGTTTTCTGTGCCTCGACGGGTGAAAGGGTTTGAGGTCCTGTGTGAAGTTGGAGGTGAGATAGTTATCGGGGAGGCTGCAAGTCAGTTGCAGATCGCAGAGCATCTGGCCCTCTCGCAACAAGATATACGTCCACATCGTGACCAATACTCGCTGCCGTCATCCCGAGGGTTTCTCCTCTCCGGACACGCGGAGTTGTCTCATGGGCAACCCATCGACTGTCCTCGAACCACTCGAATGTGGAGTACCGACACGATTGAGGGAGAAAAGAAAGAGGGAGAGAGAGTGCGGGGCAATAAGGACCGAACGCAGCTCGGGTGGGACGCGGGATTTTTTCCGAGATGGAAAAGGGACGCCTCATCTGGATGGGCTTCCCACTGGTCGATTGGCACAGCTCTGAGACGGCCTTCAGCACTTGCTGTGGAGGTTCATGGGGGTGTAATTGGCGGGGTGGAATAAAGACATGTTCCTATGATGCCCTTTCGCAACTCTGAATCTTCCACCGGCTCGGGGTAATGGCACCGAACTGTCAACTTCTTCGTCAGGCCTAAGAGGAGACAAAAGGCATCACAAGGTCGTGCTCATCCGGCCAAGTTCGGTTGTCGACATGTTATTCCGCTCACACTCAACGTAGTAGAGCAACATTTCCCCAACGACGGATGAGTGTGCGTCCGGACTCACGCCTGTGATACACGAGCAGAAATGAATCTCATAAGTTGGCTATTTTGTGTGGATGGATGGAGATCAGCACAGACGGCATCCGATTCGCTCATCAATCAATCCATGAACCTGCATATTGGAAGTCGATAGCGGTCGATGTTCCAGTATTTTCGACGAACTCCCTCCCACTCCCGTGTCAGATTGGGTAGTTCAACCGTCTCCCACTCCACGTCAAAGTCGGATTCAAATAAATCAAACTCGACAACCTTTTGATACACGTCGTAGCTGATCTGCCTATCGGCACCCATACCGTTGAAGAAAGACCACCGCCCGTTCTGGCTTAGGAGGCTGATCACCTGCTCCGAGAAGAAATCGCGGAAGGCGCTATACGACTCGGCGAAAGTGTCAAAGTATATGGCGTCAAAGGTCTCGCCTTCTGCAATGAGTTGCGGAAGGATGTTTTGCCATTTTCCTTTGTGAACCTCCACATTAGGCTTTTCCATCCACCCGTCACTCTCCATTTTGCTGAGGACATCTGGGTGAGCTTCCACAATATGGTGACTCGCGGGCTTGTTAGCATGGTTTTGGATGTGTGTATCAATGATGCCCATGCCAAAGCCAATGTTCAGGATCTTCAAGCCTGGCTCTGATAAGAGTGCGTTGGTGGACTGGAGCATAATGTCGCTTTCCCATCTCATCATGACACCGTTTTGTTGCTCATCCAGAAGATTGTTATCGCCAAGTGACAGTGCCGAAGAAAGGTAGACTGAGCTAGTAACATCCTCGTGTGACGTGTTGGCATCCGAATCGCCCTGGCCTTGCGACTCTTCGGCCACGTTGTTATCCTCGCCGTCCTCGTCGTCATTTAGTCTCTCGTACCCTTCCAGGCGGCTGAGAACCATCTCTGCACGGACTCCCGCATCGACCATGACTTGGTAAAGATCGTGCAGCCCCAGGCGGTAGGCAATACATCCTGGGGTCTCATCATTCTTGTCTAGCTGGTTCCAGATCGCGCCGTTCTCGAGCAAGAACTTGAGAAATCGGGTTCCGCTCTCCTCACTGTGCGAGAGAGAAGTAGAATCTCCATTGAGTTGTGTAGCGCAGACGGATATCGCAGCATGGAGCGGCGAGAAGCCAGTGATGGGGTCCTGGATATCGACGACTTTACATTCCGGAAAGGAATATTGATCGATATATCTTTGTAATGTCCGTATGTCGTGGTTTGCTGAGGCATGGATGATTTCATGGATCTTGTCGTCGGGCGTGCTGCCACTGTCTCCATCCACTGGGAGATCGGCCATTTTTGACCAGATCGAGCTTGACTCTGTGACCAAGACGACCTCTTATATCTCCATATTATATGAATTCCTACTTGGTGCACACGTAGTTGCGGCAGTAGCTGTCGGAAAATTGTTACAGCCGTTTCGGAAAATCATAATTCCGATACCGGGCCAAGACCAGCTAAAGTCCGCGTGCAGAAATCGCCATCGACTTGCCCTGGCAAACGAACTTCAAACTAACCTCAGCTTGGTTTGTCTTGCTTTCTAAGACTTCTGCAGCGTCAATTTCCATCGCGAGATGGCCATCTTGTCCCTTTGGAGCCCTGTCGACACATAAGAGGATAGTGGCCTTGCCGTCGCGGCTATTCTGGGATCTGCACCCGGCGTCTGATTCACCTACCAGTCTCCCAGCCCTGACCCGTAGGACCTCTTCCGACACAGCAACGCGGTCGCGATAGACCACTACGAAATTTCCAGGACTGGGGACCGCAGTCTACTTTCCCTGGAAACATGAGGGCGCCTCTATCCAAGCCAGCTTTTGCCGTGTCAACAAATCGTGATGCAGAGTTCCCTGATGTGGTGAAGGCTTTTTCTAAGCCTATCGCTGGTTGGGGTCGCAGCGGTCGAGAGTTTTCACACAGAATATCCACAATCAAGGCCATCAACATCATTCTACGGTGAAAAGCGATAGCCTTTCGATTGTAAATCCCTGCTGGGCTTTTAGGCGACATCCCATTGCCGCCACCATCATATCTGAAGCAGCAAAGCTGCCCCACCTAGAAACGCTGAAAGCCCGGCCTGCCCGATATTCAACCACACCATCCAGCATCAGCCCGCCCAGATTTTCAGTGATCAACAACACTTCTATTTACTTTCGCCCCGGGGAGGATGGGGAAACCGAAAGGTAAAAGCGTCAAGTCGGTGACGGCTGACGCTCCCCAAGAGTTACATTCCGAGCCGTACTCTGTTCCCAGGCCGACCAGCCCTTTGAGAGCCGCCGATGGCCATAATGTTGACGGTTGGGCCGACGAGGACATACGAACTTACAATGAATTGCTCAACGAAAGAGCAAAACTGGAAAAGGAAAAAAACGAACTGGAGCAGAAATCCTCCAGACATCAGACGCAGAGGGCCTTGCTAGATGAAAATGCCACAGCCCTTGACAAGCTGTTCAAATCCCAGCTAGGAGGTGATTTCAAATTCACGGGTGCAGGGACCTGCTGCTTGGACGTTGATGTGAAGGGAGTCGAAAGGACCAGAGGTGCTGCAGGCTCTTGCAAACACGAAATTTGCCTACGGGCTAAGACGAAAGGGATTTCTTGGATGGAGATGGACACGATAAAATATTACCACGCAAGAATCATGGCCGAGAAGTCGCAAAGAATGCAAAACGCGCTGCGCAAACAGAGAGACGTGGAATTAGTGCGTGTCAAGAAGGATGATGAGGAGGAAGCTGCCTTGCGAGCCCGCAGAAATGCGATTTTGGACAAAGCCACTCGCAGTAGTCTGCCTTCCACGCCGACAATCAAGGATGACAAAGGCGGCGCCGCGTTGGAGACCTCAGCGCTGGATCTACTCCCTATGGCATCCAAAGATTTTCTGCTGGATCCCAAGAATAGCGCCATTCTGGAAGCCGCCAAGGAGAACGAGCACATCGTGCGCAGAATTCGGGGACGGCTGGATAAAATTCGACACGACGTTAATGCCGGAAGAGTTTCACCCGCGGATGCTCGTGTGAAACTAGACCAAGCGAATTCTGAGATGGCGGAAGCTGAGAGGAAGAATAACGAGTTCCGGCAGATGATTCTTGATGCCGAACCTGCGCTTTCACAACTTCACCAGCATTCTGCCCCCGCAGGGAATCGCACAACTCCCAACACTCCGGCAAGCTTGACTACGGTGCTTCAGAACACTTTAGCAACATCCAACGCTGACGCCTTCTCTCAAGCCCTCAGTGTGATGAAGGGTTTCTTCAGTGCCTCAGATCCACATGATGTCCAAACCGCTATCACAGATTTGCGCAGCGTGCTGGAACTCAACGGCCCGATGTCTCCTGTCTTACAAAAGTCCTTCAAGGCTCTTGAAGAGATGCTCGCGAAACCTAATGCCAAAGGATTCACGGTCGATGTCACCACCGGCGATGGAAAGACGAGGACATGCAATAACGTGGTCGAGGTCATGATGAACCTCCGGTTAAAGATGCAAGCCTCTGACAATCCCTCCGCGGCTGCTGACCCTGATCTGAATCTTGACGAAGACACGATCAAGGCCAATCTTGAATGTATCAAGGTTGAAGATGCTGCAAAGCACTACATGCTGAAGATGGTGGAGAGGATGCCTGGAGCCACCACGGCCAGTGTCACCAGCGCCCTCAAGAAACTCAAGGCAAAGGCTATCCTAAAATCGCCCATCCCACCACTCTCCGATATCGTTCTTGACGATGTGATTAGTGACATACTCTTCCAACGATCGGTCGATGCTCTGGTCGCTGAAGCAGCCAAAGGTGCCAGCCTGGCACAACTATCTGGAAAGGTGACCTCACTTGTCATTTCGACCTCCCGAAACAACCCAGGGAAGTATCTAGCGACTTTGAACATGACGAAAGATGCCATTATGAAGGGGAAGAAGCTCCCACCCGATGTACTTCTCGAGGCCATCTCAAAGGTGGAAGCCTCCATGACACAGTTCGTCAAAGCCTATGGGGAGAAAATAAAACAGATCGACGCTGAGGAAAAAGCCAACCCTAGCCCATCTCCCAAGCCCGATCTGGAGATTCACCATCTTCTGGAGGGCTCTCATGTGGACAAAAAGGCTTTCGAGCTGTTCAAAAAGTTCTTGCGCACTCCATCGGCAAATGACCCTGCGGTATTGCGCGCCCGTTTCTGCGAATATCATCATATGTATCTTGAAGAGGGCATGTGGAACATGCTTCACGTTGTGCTAAACCAGCAAACCTCAGGCAAATTCTGGTGGGCAAATTGGGAGGCCGAAAAGAAATATTGTATCGAAAACATGCAGGTTGCCGCCGCTACGCCAGTACCAAAAGTTGCGGACTTTGTCTTGCAGCTGCAGGAACTCGGCATCTGCCCTGCGAGGGCTGCGATCATACTTACACAGCGCATCGCATTACAGATGAGGCAGGACTCCGAAGCCGCCAAAATCAACATCATGACTCTCCGAGACATCTATGCGGATTGTGAATCTCTCAAGCACAAGGAATGGGCTCGGTCTTTCAACTTTATCGGACGAGCGATGGCAGACACCTTTGCAATGTTGATGTTTGAATTGGTCGGGCAGGTCAATTTCGAGATCGCGATCATGGCTGCAGACTTCCTCGCGTTCATTTGCACTTTCGTCCTCGGTTCAATGGACGCCATAAGAGCCGAACTTAACCTCCGCTACCTCGAGCAGTTCATTCTCAGTACTCTTATGGAAAGTCGTACCCCTATCAACAAGTGCCGGGACATCTTTTCCCGGTATGTGCACATGTGCCAAGATTCATCGAGGTATAGGTGTTCTCCAGACCATAGATGTCAAGCGACATTCTCCCGTTATGCCACTGAAAAGTTTGCATCACTCGTCCCTGCACCGTTGAAGGTGAACAAAAAAGCAAAGGAGACCCCAGAAAAGCCTACGTCGAATTCAACTAAAACTGGCACTGCGCCCCCACGACATGTCCGCATTCGAGTGACCGTAAAGGCATATTGGGACGTGGCAAAAATTCTCACGCCGCACTTGAAATGTATCGAGCGCAACAAGAAGAACAAGAAGAGTTGTCTCTGCAGTCGAGCTGATCAGGAATTTGCCGAAGAAATTCAAGTCCTCAAGCATGCTCTCGATATCAATCTGGCTGAACTTGAGACCATGGTCAACAAAGGCTTAAATCCTCCCAAGGACTTATGGGATATGCTGGAGAAAAATGCCTTGGCTTTGCACGAACGCCCTGCAACCTATGAGGGAAACCAGAGAAGAATAACAGAGTTGAGAGCAAAAGTAGGAACCGCTCGATTTACGAAGATTCCTCCTCCCAACGAACCAGTGGCCAAGGACGTGACAACCACGCAACGGCAGCTCAGCCTCAAGTCAGTCCCAGTTAATGTCCCCAGCATCCAAAACAACCTATCAAGCAACACTTCAGAGAAGGGTAAACTTGAGAAGGATGCCACAGAGAGTCACTTGGAACACCAGCATGAGGCATCGTTCCAAAGCGAACCAGGTGCAGAGACTAAGTCGGTTTCCACAGCCGATCAGGACGACGAATCCGATTGGCACATGACGGAGCGAGAACTTGAGATCAGAGACCAGCTGCTCACGTTCTCCGACAGCGTAGACATGATGCACTCATTTGCGTCTGTCATACACCATGGTGCCAACGATCTCGGGCTTGATGGTGTGGCGTGGCAAATTGAAGACATGCTCATCGGCCACGTGGAAATGGCGTGGATTATTGCAAAAGCTCAGGGCTATAGCGGACTGCAAACTTGGATGGAGTATTATTACGCACAAACCATGCCCACCCCTTTGGGGGAGAACTTCAAAGTGAACGGCACCGGCGATTACGGTCATGATGGAAGCCTTGCCGACGCGTATGCAAGGAAGAAAACTATCGCCTTCGACATTATCAGCAAGATGGGTGGCGGCGGTGCGAAAGGCAAACCACAGTCTCAAACCGCAGGGTCGACGTTGACTGCGGCGGCAGGGAATCCCGCGACGGCTGCCGCCAACGCAGCAGCAGCGGCACCACCACCACCGAACCCTTCTGCTTTGCAACAGGCCGAACAAGCCGTGGCTGACATGGAGCGACTCGGTCGCAATTTCATCTCGCAGATGCAGATTGTCTCGAATCGCCGCAAGCGCATGCCGAAGCGCAAGTGGTAGTACAAAATCAAAGCATTATTGACCGCATAATCTTGTTGGCCTAGGAACACGCCGGGAAACTGTTTCACAATTGCTTTCTATCGAAAACTAACGGCGTGTGGCGTTAAGGGATGAGGCGCAAAAGGAGGTAGCAGGAGAAGATCTTCTGACCTCCTGAGGAACCGCTTCACGCGATGATTGAGTTTTACAAAGGATCACGGAAATGAATTCAAGCAATGTGCCAAAAATGCATTGGCTATGTTGCTAAATGCCATGTCAAAACGGGTGAAAGCAAGAGAGAGAAAAAAGACACCAAAAAATGGGTTGCAGACTATATTGTTTTGCTATAATGCTCGATACGAATGCTCGGTCTTGTCTTTTCGGGACTCTAAGCCATGCTGGACAATATGGATGCATGGATTCAGGGGCGCCGCTTGGGTCAACGAGGACTTTGTTTTCGGTATTGATCATGTATGCATGTGTTCGACTGGGACACTGGGGATCTTGTCTGTTTACCTGATTGCGATTTTAGGACACAGCCATGCCATTTTGGACGGAACAGGAGACGGCTGCGTTGGAAGGTTGACGGAGAACAACAAAGGTGATATAGAGCTGGTGGTGGTGGTGGTGGTGGCAGAAGAAGATGATGGCGGTGCTGAGTATCTGACTGATTGATGGATTGGGAGAAGACAAAGTCGGTCGAATGAATAGTTGGCTAGGAGCTGCGGTGCGATCTACCAAGTACGGGAGCAATGGAGATCCTCAGATAGATCAGTCGGTCAGTCGTAGCTGCGTCCAAAATGGCAAGAGACATGTGCAAATTAAATCCCTGATCTCCGGTTCTTGTATCGCTTCGCTTCGACTCGGTTCCCGCGGCCTCTATGTGCACAGTGCGAGGCAGCAGGGAACGAAACCTCTCCTCGCTCTCAAGAAGCCCCCCATGCATCTCTCATCTATGCGCGACAGTTATCCCGTTTCCGTAATCTAAGGACCTCAGACCTCGAGCGCACGTAGATCCACTACAAGCTCATGATGCCGACTCTAAAAACGCCCGTTTGTGATTCCACACCTTCTTTGCGGATGACATGGTCCTTCCTCAGCCGAGATATGTCGACAGCATCCTCAAAAAAAGCTTTTGGGTTGGGAGAAAGCGCCAGGAACACAGCCTTCATCATAGCTGCGGTCTCATGATCAAAGAGCCACAGACACAGACCAAATACATCTTCACTCGTTCCGTTTCTTCCCAATCGCCGTGTCATCCACTTAATCCGTCATGTTTTACAACCCCGCCGCACCAGGTGCGTCCTTGTCGGCTTTCAGACTCAGCAGCAGGTCGCGCATCCTCTTCTTGGAGCTCCCATCCCCACCACCCGACTGGCCTTTCCCGCTCAAGTCGACCAATTTTGCGATTCTCTCCCAAGCCGTGCCGCCCGCAGTGGTGTCCTCTCTCTTGGCCAAAAACTCCTCGGCCTCTTTGGCAGTCTGCGCCTTTTGCTTGTCAACTTTCCGGTTGTATGATTCGTAGAACGAATCGATGTCTTTTTGTGCGGTGGAAATGGTCTCTTCCTTCTTGCGTTGGCTTGCTTCGTCACGACGAGCGAGGTCAGCATCCCGCTTGGCTCGCCATTCGCGGATGGGTTCAGTCTCTTCGTCTTGTGTCGGAGCAGTGTAGTTTGTGTAGCCGCCGAAGGTTGAATCGGTTATGGTGCCACTTGGCGCGACGCTCTGTCCATGTTTGCTTGTGTCAGTCTGCGGGTCCCTGCTCTCTAGAGTGGCGTTTCAGTGGCATACCTCGTTGCGAGTGTCGATGGCGGGAAAGGAGCTTTCAAAGTCGTCCAGTTCTTGTTGCCCGTCACCACCTGATGGCTGTGCCGGAGCAGATGTGAAGTCGCCATCACCACCTAATAAGTCATCGTCGTCGTCTTCGACAGTAGCAGCGCCAGGTCTATCGTTGGTGTCAAAGAGTTCGGCGTCCTCTCCCAGGAGCGCTTGTTCACGCTCTAGAAAGCTACCTTGGGCGGTCGGATCAGGGCGGACATCTGTTTCTCCTGTATCCATCGTCAGTTACTCAGAGGGAATACGGTGTTGAGAATGTTATGCGAATCAGTTCCAGATCTTACCTGCATCAATGTCTTCAATGGAAGGAAACCGATCTGCCATTGTGAAGGTGCAGGTGAGGAAGGGTTGCGGCAATGATGCGCAGCGTTCAGTATGCAGTATACGGATTGTCGGTCGCTGAGTGACGGAGAGTGAGTGATCAAAGAGGCAGTGGTCTGTACAATGGCAATGCAATGGACAGTAGGTCAAGGTAGCAATTTTTGTCAGAATGGTTGTTTGCGTTGAGTTGCAACGGAGGACAATTGGCCTTGGGAGAAATCTACGCGTCTGACACGGCGACCGCGCCGCGCAAGTTTACGTGAGAGAGGTTTAGTGGTGTCTGACAGAATATTTTCTAGAATATGGCAAGGGCCGCTTGCTGTCTGGCGTGAGGCTTTCTTTCCGCATGGAGCAACAGGCTGAAAGCTTCAGCCTCACCTGTTCGAATAGATGGAGTTTTTGTTAACCATGTTCCCAGAAGCGCAATGTTGTCCCGCCATCTCTCTGCAGTGATTCTTGAGTGCGTGACTTGTACCTTGTATTTGATACCCTCTTCGCTCTTCCAACACCTGGCCAATAAGCAGAGACGCTCTAAATGCGACACCATATATTTGGGCGTGTCACGTGCTAGGTCTGTCATTTGAAACCACAAATGCCCAAAACAACAACTTCCATCAACTTGACTTTTCCCTCACTTTCCATCGAAAGTCATCATCAGCTACAGATAACTCTACAGTCTGCGTCGTGAAAGACTCTATTAAAGGGTCGGTTTTGAACTTCAAGCAGCAGCGACCAGATCTTGATCGCCCCGTTGCCGAGCTCTCTTTCTTTCACTCAGCCAGCTCAGTCAGGGTGCTGTCATAGTTTGTAGCATTGTCCTCCTGATCGTGAATCGCCGGTTCACGTTTACCTGCGCCCTACTTCATCCACGCGTAGGAGTCAAAGGGCTCAGAGAACACGGCCACACGCGCTCACTTCGACGCCCACGGATGCCGCATGGTGTAGACCACAGCAACACGGATCAACATGTCGTACACCGACGAGGCCCTCAAGGCCAAGCTCTCGACGCTCAACGAGACACAAGATAGTATTGTCTCCGTTTCACAATGGATCATGTTTCATAAGTATGTCCCTTACCGGTTGCCACATATCTGTGGAATACCGTTCTGTGGTAGCACTTGAACCCTAGCTAACACTTATTCTCTAGGAGACATGCAGATCGCATCGCAAACTACTGGCTCACCCGTCTCCGCGATTCACCGCCAGCGAAACGCCTCAACTTCATCTACTTGGTCAACGACATCGTCCAAAACGCGCGAGCCCGGAAGCGTTCTGAATTTCCGGATGCCTTTTCACCTTTGATGCCAGAGGCCATCCAGACCGCTTATCGCTCTTCACCACCTGAGATTCAAGGCAAGATCCGGCGTGTGGTTGAAGTATGGCGAACACGGAATGTGTTTGAGGTCCCGATCTTGGATGCCATCGACGCACGAGTCGACGAAGTCGACAAATCAAAGGGATCCGGGGGCAAGAAGACCCTCATGGGCAACTCACTCTTTGGCTCAACTTCCTCTTCAGGCGCCATGCCAAAGGAACTGGAAAGTCTGGCGCCATTGCAAATCGCCGTGACCAAGGAGACCATCTCCGCCAGACCCGCCATCGACAACGCACAGAACGAGTACACCAAACTCAATGATCCGGAAGCAGTGCTACCGAGCCCCCCTGTCCATGCCGCACGGCTGTCAAGCCTGATCAAGTCCCTTGCGGCGGCTGAATCGTCTGTGTCAGCGAGTATCAAGGCCAGAAAGGCGCTGATCGCAGATCTTGAACGAATCCTGGAAATCAACAAGACGGCTTTGGCGAAGGATGAGGAGACGTACCTGACGCTGGAAAGTCGGAAGACTAGCACCGAAGCCAAGAAGAGAGAGGTCGAAGATGCCATTATTCGTGGACTATCTTCAGCCGAGGTAGCATCATCTGAACATTTCGGTGGCACCGGCACGGGGGGTGCGTCAGCTGGCAACGATGCCGCACTCAACGACGTTGGTGGAAACAACCTCAGTGGCGAAACCGCAGCGAGTCACTTCCTCTCCGAACGCCCAGAAATCGAAGAACTTACTGATGACGAGGGTGACTTTATGCCCCATGGTATGTTCGATCAACCTCCCCCCAGCACTGCACAGTGGGATCAATCAGCTGCTGCGCCTGCCGCCCCTGCATCTCCGGACCTAGCAAGTTTTCGACCCAACAACCCCGCCGTTGCAGCAGCCCTGGCTGATTTCTCCGGTATCGCCGCGACGCCGACACCGGACTATACGGCGTTTCTACCCGGCAGCCACACGAACGCGCCAGCGATGCCGCGCGTCCGCTCGGCAAGTGGTGGGCAGGGCGTCAACGGGTTCGGAGCCAAAAGGCGGAAAATATCTCACGGTGGCGACGAACAGGTTCCTGATCTGGGCGAAATGGGGATGGAAGAATTCGGACAACCGCAAGGCCACGATCAGGGCACAGGCGCTTTCGGTGGTACCCTCCCGGGGCTAGGAGCACCGCAGGCAAGTCCCCGAGGCGACGATCTCCTGAAGAATCTAGACGAGGACGTGGATGAACTGCTGAGGCAAGAGGCCGCTCGAGGCCAGAATCAAGTGCCGGGACTTTAAGACAGCTTCCCCCGGATACTGTACATCCTATGCGTGCAAAAGAGACGGAGATCGTAAGAGCCTTGGATTGGGTCGGGATGTGCTGGCCAAGGATATTCCCATGGAAATGGAGTTATTGTCTACCGTTTCTATCTACGGAGATCACCAATGGGAATGGCTAGCTGGCGTGAATTACGCTGCGGCTGAGCAAAGACAACGCGCAGAACCATTGAAATGTAACAAATCCTCATAAATTGTTCTTTTTTCGCCAAACCCTGGGAAATTGAGAGATTGAGAGACTGAGAGACGATGGATGGAGGGATGGAGGGATGGATGGATGGATGAATGAGTGGTACATTTTGGCACATTGCGAAATCTCAATGAGCAAGAGCAAGAGCCAGAGCCAGCAGCCAGCGGATTAATGAAGTCCTCTCCATCCATGGACGGGGGCAAAGGTCAAGTTGTATCTTCCGTGTATCTACGATCGACGACCTGCTTCCAGTCGCTTTTTTGAAAGAGGGAGGACCACCTACCAAAGGGGGAAACGCCAAAAGATAGCAGAGGAATGGGGGAGAAAAATGAAATGTATTATTACCTAGGTGTTATCAAGAGCTGCGAACGTTGTTCCTGATGACGGTGGATTGTTCATTGGGCGGTAGGAAATGCTAATGAGTGAGAGAGACGGGACAGACGGAGATGAATGGAGACAGGGACAAGAAGAGAGACAGAGTGAAGGGGGGGGAAGAGGTTTAAGAGAAGGAAAAGGACAGAAATATTGGTTATGTACATACATAGTTGTGCCGCTTGTGCCACTTTGCGTCTTGACAGGATAAGCAAGATTCATGCAATTCCTCGATGCCTTCATATTCTGTTACCTACCTATCTGCCTATCTACCTAGGTAGGTATCCAGGCCATGTCATGGCACGTCATGTCGGGCAATGTAGTATAATATGATATGATATGTAATATGTACAGCTTTCTTTTCCTTTTCCGAAGACCAAAAGAATCTTCAAAGAGGGGGGGGGGGGGGGAGGGTTTGAACCGAGCGGAAAGGGATCGACAAAAAGTGAATCGCATCGCATATCCCCATACACCGACAGAGTCTTTGCGTCCGAAACGACGTTATACAAAAAGTACAGTAAACTCCCCCAAAGACGGATGAGTTAGTTCCAGAAACTTCAAGTAGCAAGTGTACGCTGAAACGCCGTGCTTTCTAATAACAATAGTGATGATAATAGCAATACACACTGGCTCTCGGCTTCTTGAATGAGACTCGTGAATATCACGTCGGACCAAGCATGCCCTCTTGCCTGGTAGTTTGTTGTTTTCGAGCAGAGACGTTGAAGTCCAGCATTGATTCTCTCAGACTGCCACGACACGCTGAATTCCCAATCCTCGGGGCAAATGGTGAGATTTACTCCGCTAGGACGTAGGAACTTCCAAGGAACACGGCCGATCTTGCGATGCTCCTCGGGACCTTGAAAATGGACCAAGAACGCATGCTCCGTCAACGTGTTAGTGTCCCAGGCATGGAGAACAGTTCGAGTCACTCAGCTGCCCGATTCACAGCCACCTTCAACAGGTTTCTCAGGGCGGGCCAGTGATCAACGCTCGGACTTCGAGGTCTGTTATTCATGAATCGTAACGAGGCATTGTCTTGGAGCTATACAAGTGGCCAACTCGCACTCACGTCGTCGGCCTCTTGAGTGGATGCGCCTCGGTATTGAGAACCCAGTCATCCAAGCTCACCAATGTCGGCTCACTGAAGATGAGGTAGAAGTACTTCAGCGTCTCCGCGAGCCAAAAGCTCTCCATGCGGTCACTCTTTCCAGGCTGTGCATGCCTCACATCATGAACGGCAGCGTGCGCAATGGGTGTCCTCGTAGCCTTTTCGATGGACTGGAACATCCCCCACGCGATGTCTTGGTATCTTGGGTCCCCCGTAATGCGATACATGATGAAGACCGACTCAATGGCTTCTGGCCGGAGGATGTATCTATTATCGCCGTGGTCTGTGAACCCAGGGAAAAGGCGACGTTGTTGGACAAGCTTTTTGCCGCGCTCGACAGCGCTCATACTTGCGGTTTCCTCGGTCGCGGCATGTTTGCGAGAGACACCTTCGTACCACTTGTCATCCGACCAGTCGCATTTTCCAGGGGGTGGGTCGATCGTTCCAATTTGGCACGCTATCAGGTGGAAGGTTTCGGGCATTAGGCCTGATGGCATTGCGGTGTAAGCCCAGATGCAGCCCTCAATCAGTCGACGTGCAACATCCAATTCGTCAGGTCGCGAGAAAATTTTGGCACCAATACCAACCATGCCGCTGACGAAGCAAGCTAGGTGTTGACCTTGAGGCTCGAGGTTAGCGATGGGGATTGTTTCCAGGGAAGTCAGGGCCGCGTTGCCACTGAAAAGGATATTCTCGCCCCCTGGCACCAATGGGCGGAAGAAGAGATGCCGTTTCGCAGTATCGATGGCCTCTTCATACATGTGCTTGTACTTCTGGTCTCGGCCTCCTAGCATCATATACTGCTTCGGCAGATATTCGTACGTCGAATCGGCCATACCACCCATCGTAAAATGGTTATAGTCCCACGATATTTCTTTGGCATTGACAATGGTCGGCCACAAACCAGGTATACGTGTCGTGTTCTGGGCCCACTCCATCTCCTCTGCGATCCGTTGGACGGCATCAAAGTATTTCAGGTCGCCTGTGAGTTGGCTCAATCGGGTGAACTCGACGGTCAAGCTCCCAATTTCCGCAAGCAAGGTATTGGTACCGGGTTCGATCTCGCCGCCTAGGGCAGTTTTCTTCCAGTTCCACCGCGTCATCGGCATATGGGTGGGAGTATCAAAGGCAGAATAGAGCATCTCGCCCAACTCTTTGGCTTTGTCGAGGAGCACCCCGTACTCTCCGTCCGTGAGGTCATATGCGGCAAGGAGACCGCCGAGGTAGCGAATAGTCGTCTCAAAGATGTTCAGTGTGTCTTCGTCATTGGTTGTGAAGTCGATGCGTTTAGCCATCTCGACGCAGAGATCAAATTCATCGTTCAACCCCATGATGAGGAGGGTATCCATTGTGTCGACGAGAGTAGCGCCCCAGCCGCCGAAACTGGAGCGAAACGCACCGCTGACCGGAGCAACTTCATCCTGACCCCATGCATATTTCTTGTATCCATTCCACGCATGCACGAATGCTTCTTTGACGGCATCTCTTCGTCTTTCTTGCGTTGCCTTCGCATGCGTAGATTCTGGCTGTGATGCGAAGTCGAATTGGATCTTGGGGATCTTCTCGACAGGGCCTGTGGGCAATTCCCGGTAACCTGCAGGAGGATATCGTTCGGGTCGTTTCGTCCAGTGTAGGCTGGTCTTGTGGCTCGAAGGAGGAAAGGTGACTGTGGTGGGATCACTGGGATAGAGGTAAATGTAATAGACCAGACAGGCCAGGAAGAACGCTGGCAACAGCCAGACGCGACGTATTAGTATCATGTTGGTGCTCTTGCGGTGGAGTGAGTGATGATCGCCATCAGGTCTGATCTGAAGTCTGACGTGTAGAGAGAAATTAAGATCCGCAATTAGAAACGACCCCCAAATCTTGGAGTTTCAGGGGGGCCTCACCCACCTCGCCCTGGAGAGACGAACAGCGAACGGCCCCACGAGAAAACTTAAGGTTCTCGTTAATATGTCGTTTAGATTTTAAGCTTAAATTTATTCACCAACAAAGTTCCCCGCGAATGTTGCACCAGTTTCCCTGTTTCCACCACCTTTTTTCGTGTTCGAGAAATATCCTCGGTGGATATACATCGTCCACATACAGTGAACAGCACGATAGTCTTCCTACTTTCAACATGGCTTTGACCGGGGTATTCATTCTCCCCTTCGGACCAGGCCAGTCCTCGCCATCCTCTGCGCTCATATCTCACATCTCGCGCTCCTTTCCAGCCGAACCACTCCCGCCTTTCCACCTTGATCACCGCCTGTTCGTCGACACCTCTTCGCTGCTCCCCAACTCGGATACATCTCAGCGTAGAACCACCAGTATACTGACCCTGTCACAGACGCCGACAAGGACATATATTGCCACGACAGGGCCGAAGGAGAAATCTCAGGGGACAACAGATCAGACGGCTTCCGCACCGTTCACCATAGTAACCATCCCCTCGAGCTCCGCCGATTCATTCACTCAAATCGTCGGCACAAAACTCCAACCGCAATGGGCACATCGACAATCCATGATCATTGATAATGGCACCGCGCTGTCCCTGGAGAATGGCCAGTGGGTCATACGCATCGGGGACTTGAAAACTCCGACCCGACCAAACCAAGCTGCCAGCAACCTGAGAGGCATGGTGGTGGAAGTCTCCTTCATTGAAGCTCCGGTGGATGCCACACGTGGTCAAGTGCCAGTTGATGCTCCGAAAGACGCCAACGCGAAGGTTGTGAGCAAAGAAGACGAGACACTGTTGCGTGGGATGCTCGAGTCGGTCACCGACGGCAGCGGAATGCCCTCGAATTTCAGCATCGACGCTATGCGGTCGCTGATTCGTCGCACCAACATACATCTCAAGGATAAAGATGCTGGCGACGCTTCGCCAGACTGGGACCTGGCAAATTTGTATCTGGGCATCCTCCGAGGATCCAGAGGTTGAGGAGAATACCACCACTACCGCACTTGACAAACACCCGAACTTCGAATATCCCTCAGGTGACATCGTACAACTCCATGAGAGCCGATGAGCGCCTTCTTTCACGCAGCCCAGCATGGCGTTTGTACCAATCAAGCAGCTATTCGTTCCGCACAAAAGCCTCGTCAACACGAGAGCAATCGGTCAACTACGGATAGCGACTCTCAACCCCCTTCGCACGCCAATGCGCCAACCTTTGACCCAGCTCTTCACGCCGACTCAATCGCATCTACCACCGATAAGGCCACGCACAGTGAAAGTCCTCCACGACTCTGCTCCCATCCACGTCGCGACAAAGCCCGCCCTCACAGCGAAATCGAGTCGCGTCCTCTCGCAGTTGGAGAAGACTGTCGCTCTTTAACCAGAGCTCCCACAAGCGTGCACACGAAGCTCCCTGCCTCATCCGCATCGTCAAACGGATAGACAACATACTCAAACGACCGATGACGCAATACCTTGAACTCGGGCCGTTCCTTGCCTACCATACATGTCGCATATCGCGTATCGCATATCGCATATCACCTAGAAGCAAGCCTAAAACAGATCACCAACCCAACAGCGAGTCCAGGACCAGGATGAGCAGCTCCGCGATGCACGACATGATGCAAGATGCGTGTGCGCCATTCCCGTAAATGACAAGTCTGAAACGGGAAAGGTCGGCAGGCAGCCTACAAAACAACAGATTTTCAGGTAATATTGAATGATCTTACCCGATAGGGAGAGCGGCGCAGGATACACGTATGCAACGAACGATAGGTCCCCCAATGAATTTGGAGAGGAATGTTTTGGGTAGAAGTCGAGTCAAGTCGAGAGAACGCGAGACTTGCATTCCGATCATCATCGTCATTGAAAAAGGCAATATAGGGATAGAATGCGTGGGATACACCAAACATATCTGCTATTACAAGATCTTGTTCCTTTTATCTTCCCATTCCCCTCGCACATCCCCCTTCCCCACCTTTCTTCTCTTCTCCATTATCGCAGACACTTATCACCGTGTTGTCGTCAAGCACGGCCGGGACAGGCAATGAGGCCGATCTTGGAATTGATCCAAACGCCTTCGTCTTCTCTCCTCTCTCCCTCTTCTCTTCCGACGACAGACCCTGGAACCTCGTGCGGATCTCTCTCGTGATCATTGCGGGACACGTCTTGATCCTGCTCTTGCTCCTGTTTTTGCTCACGTTCCTGGTACAACCCATGCTCACGCACGATGCTGTCGACGATGAACTCGGCCACATGCTCGAAAGTGACGGTATACCGCGGTGAGTTCACCATGATCTCCAGCACCGGTCCGATGCCCCACGGCAGGGCGCGAAGGACGGGCCAGACAGTCCACCGCGGAGGCACGTCGGCGGTCGCAACGAGGGTCGGTGACGGTGTCCGTCGCGCCACGGACGTCGCGTTGTCGTCACCAGGAACGGCTGACGAGGTAGGTGGTTTGGACCGTTGCTGGGTCCGCGGGATCATCTTCGCCGGACAGACGAGGGTCCAGTCCAGATGTTTGGATGATCGCAGGATGGACTCCAAGGGGCGGTGGTGGAGATAGAGTGGTAGACTGTGTCTCAGCAGGTCAGAGAGGAGTGTGACGGCTTGAAAATGAGGTTGAAAGTTTTGAGGTCGCAAAAATAAGTTAATGGGAGGAGAAAAACGAATTTAGAACGTACTAGGTGTCCAGAGAGTGAGCCTTCTCAGGTGCTAGTTGTTTGGCACGTCCTCCGTGGGATTCGGGCAAATCTAACAGTAACATCCCACCTATAAACCATCCTCTTACCCTCGTCTCAGCTGTATCGACCTCTACTGACTTTGCAACGTCTTCTATCGCATCGACGGACGCGCGGACGATGCGAGCCACTTCGTTATCGCTGCCAAAAGCCATGTCTTTCCCGTCAGAGACGGAGTGTGAACTCCTTCCCGCGAACATGGGAGCGTGGCCTGCCGCATTGACGAGGACCTGGATGGACTTCTCTCGCATAACTCGAGCCAGCAGATCAGAATCGGTCGCATCTCCTTCGATTATGGAGAGCTGTCGCTCGAGCGATGAAGACGGCGAAGCAGGATCCAGTGCCTGTCGGCTTGGGTGTTGTCTATTGTAGAGAATGCGGTTCATTTTATCCCGGCTCCTGACGACAACAGTGACATCCACAGAGGGTCTCTCGAGCAGGGTGCCAAAAATGCGGGAGCCCAGAGACCCCGTAGCGCCGAGGAGGAGAACATTAATGGTGCTTTTACTTGTGAGACTTGTGGCCATCATTGAAGGACTCAGACTAGGAATAGCAACGAGTAGGTTGACGCTTGCTGCGAGAATTTGTTCGCCCACTGGCACGGGCGGGATATAAATATGTGTAGGTACAGTCGTGGTCGAGATGCAGTCCACCCATCATAGTTGAATACCCGGCATCGGCAACCTATCCAAAACGTATATTAAGTGCTGGTACCCAAGGGCCCAAGGAGTCAACGCACATTTTGCATCTCACAAAGTTTGGTCGGGTTCACTTGATGTAGATTTACCGCTCGGGTATGCACAGCGTTCTGGTGAGGCGGGTCTATTCGTAGTCGAGAATGCGGATATCCGGGGAGCCTTGGTTAGCCTCGCGGGTATTGCGGTGGGTCCTGGTTCACTCCTGAATACCCAATCTTCGACGTCTATGCAGAAGTTAAATGTGTATAGCGCTCTCAAAGGATCGGATGCCGTGGCTATTAAAGAGGGCTCGTTCTCGCACGGTCAGTTCAGTGGAAAACGGAATCAGCTGGTGGTCACCGTACTGCTTGATCTGCGTAGTACTCCTTCGGCACGGTCTTCAGCTTGCAGTATCTGGCACGATCTTCCAGAACTCGGTGCAGGGATTCCATCAATCAAGCGAGTCGTAGCTGCACTCCTAACTAGGGTCTAGTGCTACCCGGATTGCTAGAATATCAAGATCAATTCCATTAGAGTGCCGCAAGTAACTATCCATCAGCCGGAAGCCAAGATAATGACGACAGTTGCAAATCGTCAAAATTGAGATAGTTCAGGAGGTTGACCGGAGTCTCCATTGTAAGCATAGCGGCTTGATGAGAGCCGACTTCCATTGCGCTTGAGTCCACGAGTCCAGGTCCTTGTTGCGCATGATTGAGGCCCAATACCTCTCTGGCAATGATCTGAACCTCGTGCAGAGTCCTGCGGGCTAGTGGCCACACCAGAGCAAAGGGTCGCAGACAGCCAATGCACATACGGATCTGGTCGCGAGCCACGGCCAAATTTCGCCCAGTCAGAAGAAACTTACACGCAGACAAATGTGCGACGATAACGGAGGAGACCATGCAGACCGTGAACGGCGTATGGTATGCGGGCTTCGTAGACATCACAAGAAGTCGCACCACACAGTCTATAGATCTGAGACAACGGGCGGTGTGAATCCCCCGGAAGGATTGTTCGGAACAAGGCGAGACTTCTGGAGGGTCTGCTGAGCAGCTGGATGAATACTCCAGAGAATTGTAAGTAAGTTCCGATAACGCTCTGTGGAATCCCACGGTGGCCCTATCACAAAAGAAGAGTCAGTATTGCCATATTTACCCCGGTGAGACCGTGTTGAGGTCCATGGATGAAAGGATATTGTTTCTGCAAATGCCGAGGGAGACCTCACGCGTGAATCGCCATATGTGCTTGGAACATATGTTCGTCAATTTCGCCTCCAGCAGACAGAGAGGCCTGTTTAGATTCTGGGAGCGCGAGCAACCACCCGTCAATGGCAACGTCTACGACCTCAAAGACACTCGACGAGTCGCCCGACTTAGCCACCGTTGCCAGGAATCTGCTTATTGAGGAGGCGATCCCACGGACGGCGCCGATAAGATAGGCAAAAGATGAGAAAACGATATCATCAGATGCAAACTCGCGGGAGTCGAAATCAACAAGCGTCCGAGGGGTCGGAATGATCTAGAGAAGCACATAGAGGAGGAAGTGTCAGCAAGCCGTCTAACACAAGGGAAGTGAGAGGAGATGTAAGGGGGGCTCACCCCAGATTCATATTCTTCCTCGTCACAGGGCAGTTCAGTCATCATTTCCACCTCATTGGTTGTAAAAGTCGGGGCATGCCTTATGGCTGCATAGTGGGCGTCAGTGATGTAGATCTGCCACCACGTCCTCCTCCAGCTCTCTTCGATGACCGGGTCACCCTCGCCATGGCCCACTGCGAAGTCGGCCCGGTTCATGGAAAGTTGAAGGGCGACACGGATCGCAGCGTCCATCATTTCCTGTGCTCGGTCCAGCTCGTCACACCAGTGAAGGGAAATCGACTGCAAGAGATAACACTGTGCCAGGACAGGGCTCGGTGGGGTTTGCGACGACAGTTCGAGGATAGCGTCAGTCGCAATTGCTTTCAGCTCGTCAGAGTTGACTGAGTGGGCATACAGTGAGCCGATGAAGCGCATCACGGCGAGCAATGGGTGAAAGTTCAGCTTGGTGGTGCCCATTGTCAACAATCTTTCGAGGTGCGGAAGGGGGACAGCCAGGGGATGGAATTTGTGGAAGTGTCTGTAGTAGAGATGGATGAGGGCATCGATGTTGGGACTGATGAGCTTCGAGCCTATAGTCTCGAGATGCTGTGCTCTCCCTTCTCCTGTATTTCTCTGGTCATTCTCAGACAAGGCCGAGACTATGCTGATACTGGACTCTGGCGCGGTAGCAGGCGAAATAGCTCCCACCAGGTTTCGTCGTGCCGCCAGAGCCGCCCGGGTCAAGCCTCCCCTGCGAGATTTAGTGTAGACGCATTCACTGCCGTCCAAGGAACACCGAGAGCAAGGTCTTTTAGCATTGCATTTTACATGTGCGGCGCGGCAGGCCACACACGCCAGGGACACCCGTTTCGTGGGAGCTTTGCGAGGTGGAGAGGGGGTTTGGGCGCAGTCCATCTTCTCTTCCCGGGGGTTTACATGTTTACCAGACAGGAGGTGCGATCCGTTGTGAAATGAGGCTGTCGAATAGAGGCGTCAGCATGGACGAATCGGAAAGATAGCAGATACAGTGATTCCTTCGATGGTGTTGTCGGGTGATGGAAGTCGTCGGGAATCCGATCAGGTGGTTGATTCCCGGTTACCCGGTTGAGTTTCCGTCTCGCCGTCTTACTGAGTCTACATTCCTCCAACTCCGAGGAGCAACATAACGTCCAGTATGCCCAGGTTAGCGTTGAGATATGTGATGCGCTCAATGTGCATTCGTCTTGATATCATGAATCTCCCATGGAAGGAGCGGCAAAGCATGAGTGGCTATTTCTATCCAAGGCCGAGATACTGCCTCAGAAGCATCGACAAGGCAGAGGCAAAGCCATTGCTGCCTCTAATGCACTTCCATTATCCTGCTTCTGACTTCATTCTGTTCTTCATAAAATGGTCCTGTGGAAGCTCCACAGATATAGTAGCACCTGTTGCTTCGAGCCCTCACTCACATGGCCACCGAAAGTTGGGATTGACTCAAGAGACTTTCCTTTGCGCTGTTGACAATCATATATCCATAGTATGAGCGAACCGCTGACATTCCCGGCCCCAAGCTTGCCCGGGTCCGCGCCTGTTCTTCATTCACTGTTGACTTCGGGATCAAAAGCCCTGGTACCCTGGGCTTGGGCGTTCTCCTCGTCTGTATGCCCGCGAGTTCTTTCCAAGTAGTCTTCAAACTCTAGCGAGATATCCATCACCTGCTCAATATGGTTGTACCCTAGCGGTTCGTTCCTGTACTTCGCCACTTGAGTCGCCGTCCAAAGGCAATTGCGAATCTGTCGGCCGTTGAAGCGACGTCGAGCCATCACCAAAGCCTTACGTCTGAGCTCCTCGTAGAGCATTGGCACTTTCTTCTCGTTCATGGCCTCGATGAAGTTACACCAGATCTCGTATCGGTCCTCACTATTTAGAACTGGATAGTGTATGGCGAGCTGAACGCGGGATTTGAAGGCTTCATCGAATGTGCCGACACGGTTGGTCGTGAGGATGAGAATGCCATCGTAGTACTACTCTGGTCAGCTTCCGAGCATACGACAGGAATTGGGAGGGTTGAAATACCTCCAATACACGCAAGAATACCGATACTAGAGCATTCCGAGCAAGATCGGTAACTTGCCTCTCCTCCAGAAACACATCCGCTTCGTCAAGCAGCACAACACACCCCCAGAGACTACCTAGGAGCAGGACGGACTCGAGATATTTTTCCACCACCTCGGCAGATGTTCCAACATCGCCACAAGTCACGCGGTACAAGGGTTTCTTTGCAATTTCGGCCACGGACTCTGCTGTCAACGTCTTCCCTGTCCCCGGGGACCCATGAAGAAGCATGATCAGGCCATTTCCTTTGTTCTCCACAAAGTCAACGTTTTTCGCACTGGTCAAGTGAACGCTCACGAGGGCTTTGATGGTATCCTTCTTGTTTGACTTTAAAACGAGGCGACTAAAGGCTTCCTCGTTCCAAACGACATCCTCGATATGCTCGACGTGGAGGCTTCTCCATTTCTTGTCGTGGAACGCATACCCGACAATTGTGGCAGGCAAGAGAATGGAAAAGGTGTCGTTGGGGGGCTCCTCTGCTTCCATTGTTACACCCTGCTCCGACATCTCCCTTTCACTTGCCAAAGGCGCTTCCAACTGGGATGGGTGAATCTGTCGGAACGTCTTGTAGTCCACCATGTATTTGGGGTTTGTGACATGTAGCTCAAAGATGGTCGGGAATGGCGCGTTGTAGCTTACGAGCCTTTGGTGTCGACAGCTCCAGAATTTTCGTCCACGAGCCATCAGCCTCTCCCGAAGGCCTGTCTTGTCAAGTCGAAGTGGGAAGGTGGAGAGGCTGCTTATCTGCAATTCGTCCGGATTTGTTGATGGCCATGGAACAGTTATGGTGGCATCCTGTTTTTTGAAACTGCGGTCGAAGTGCCAAGTCCAGCAGCTGAGGGTAATATCAAGCTTGGAACTCAAGTTAACAGTCTTTGTAATATACGCACGCGGGTGATCTTCCTCGATGGTCACAATGAGTTCGTTCGGGGCGAAGAGCTTGCTGAAAGTGTCTCGATGGACCTTGCCGCACGCAAAGTTCCTGTCAATCTTGTCGAAATTAGCGCCCTGTATCTCGTCAATGCAGTGGAGCAGTTGAAAAAGCTGTTGTTTTTCTGGTTCAGGCAAGCTCGGAGCACATCGATCGCGTAGCTCGTGGCGGAAATGATAGAAGTAATCATACGGTGCATAGAGATCTCGAAGAGGGTCCCAATAACCCATAGGCGGTTTACACGATGTTGTGTAGTCCTTCAGCGCCGTCTTCAATCCCGTCGATATGACAATCTCTTCCGAGCCCGGTTTAGCAAGAGGGCCAGGAGTCGCAAGGGTGCAGGCGTATGGCCTAACTTTGCTATGGAGACGAGACTCTAGACTCGGAGGGACGGCACCGAAAGCTTGTCTGATCGTTCTGTGGTAATCAGCACAGTTGTAGCCTCTGACTATTCGGATCGGGCTGTTTCCTTGCAGCTGTTGCATCACGGGGAGCCGGTGCTGGCCGCGTAAGGCTGACCCTCGATGGTCGTTTGTATAAAGTCGCGGTGGGTCTAGAAAGTCTGCTGAGTCTGGGTGTTCACTGTGGTCCTCGCCGTCGATATCGGGACGATAGCAATGAACACGGTGGATGATGGGACACTCGCAATCGAGAGATGGATCGTCTTGGGCATTGTTCTTGGAAGTTCGAGTCTGGGGATCGCCGTCCATCTTGTTGTGTCACTTGCGACTTTCTGAAGTCTCTGTCGAGGAAGGTATACTTGTCGACAGGACAGTAGAATGGTGGATATGTCAAGAACAATGTCGCGGCCTGTTCTGTTCGGTGCTGGAAAAGCGCAAGAATGGTAAGTAGCAAAGCAAGGCTGGCGCCCACTTCCAGGTTGTGATAGGGGATTACCCGCTAGACAGCCGAAGCACAGAATCTGGAAACTTGTCAATTGGCACCTGTGATGTTGATCTGGTGAACAAATATCATGCAATGCCTGATATCCCCTTCAGATGGGAGAGTGTGATGTTGACGAGGCGCAGCTCAGACGCAGGTTTTCGAGGTGCGCGGTTAGCCGTACGAACCGCACGACTGATTTAATCGTTGGCACGCTACCAGAAGATCACAGTGAACAATGATTCGTCGTCTCTCCCTCAGGCTGCCACCATTGTCCATTCTCGTGGCGTCAATGCAATGTACAAGATTCTGTGAAGATGTTTGTTGCTGTCACAACTGAAGTTCAGTGTCAATTTCGCAGGTTATTGCCACACCGATAAGCACTGTGAACTATTCAAAATTGCAGTCTTTGAGGCTCCGAGAGAAACACCGGTCTGGCTTCGGCAAGATTGGCCTCTCCTTGGACTGATCCATCGTCTTCTACCTAGCTGCTTCCACCTCAAGTTGGCTTATAGTGTGGTGTTTCTATCACGGGATAGCCTGGATACGGACAATTGGGATGCCCGCTCAGCTTCTCGAATTGCAAGCGTTCGTCCAGTTAGCTCTGTCAGCTTTGAAGAGGAGAGAGGCTCCCCGGTAACTGTAATGGTAGAACCCTGAAGTTGATCAGAACGGGACACGAGGAGAGGTGATCTGATCACAAGACACATACCTGATTTCGAAATGAAATACCCATATCTAACAAAGCTTTGGGGTGCACATCTTTGGAGGCAATCTCTGTCCATGCCCTAGAGCAGGAGATCACTTTGTAGTTTGCAACCTCGTAGTGTGCTTTCACCACCATCTCTACTGGTTCGTTGGGCTCCGTGATGCACGAGTAGATCGTGGACAGAGCCACTATTTCTTCAATATAGCTGCTCGAGAGACATTCAGGTACCTTGATAATTCCCTGTACAGCTTATCAGGTGTGACCAGTCATTGGAGCTTGGAGAAAGGCCTCACATCAGCACCCTTGTGGTATGAATATCCCAGTTGATCGAGGGCTTTTTCACACACCAAATACTTCGCAAACGTTGTCATTCCATCAAGAACAGGCTGTTCGTATTTGATCACCACACTTATTCCTCCTCGGACTGGAGGAAACACTTCCTTGACCTCTATCAGTTCATTGCCCACCTCACTCCAAGTATATATGCCCACCTCACTCCGAGTATTTACATTACTTAAAATGATTCCATAATCCCACAAACTACCTCTGTACACGACAGGAGCAAAGTTCTCGACTCGCTGAGTTCGCAACGCGGAAAGAAGCTGTCGGATGACAGACGCTGAATCGCCCGACCGATCTCCTGAAATCGTATAGGTGAGAAGGGCGAGTTTAGTGGAAGATGACGGCGACGGTGGCTTCAGCGTCGGCGTTTCCTTGTCATGGTGATCCAGTGAAAGTACTTTGGTGGACTCCGTCACTCGATCGACTAAAGCATGATCAGCGGTCTGCGAAGCAGAAGCATTTTGCTTGTCGGCGTTTGTCTCCAATTTCACCGCTTCTCTTCTTATCAGGATGGAGTTACAGTCATCTATTAGATCGTCCCATATCTCGGTCCGCACTACCTTCACAGTGTAATCTCTGTCAAGTCTGTGACGTCCTGTCCACTCACACAGTTGATACAAGTAACTGTTGTTAGGTCGGTGTTTAGGAACTTGCGGGTTTTTCGTAGCAGTTGGTTGGGTCTTCACATGGGGCCTGACCCGGACTTTCTGTACCAATCTTTGTTTATCGTCGCGATAAACGTCACCCTGTTTTTCCCAGCACCACTGTCGTTCTGCAGTTTGCGGATTTTCCTGGGACTGAACAGGATCTGCTCTTGTCTGGCTCCCTCGCCCCATGCTGTGGCCAAGGATGTCGGGATCCACAGCAGGCTGGGAGACTGCGAAGCTGACTCTCGGATCAAGTGCATCAAGGCGCTGTGCTGGAGAAGCGAGTCTTGAAAGCTCTGGCTGCGGATTCTGAAGAGGCGATTGTAGCCGGGCGAGATCTGGGTCAGTATGTCGCTTCAAGTGTGAGCCTTCAAATGCTGTCAACGGAGAGCGCTCGAGAGGGCGGGCAGAAAGAACGGAGAGTGCATTGGCTCCTTTCGGGCGGATTCTTGCATCCATGTTGGGTTGGAGAGGCACGACTATCGGAACCCACTAGTATACGAGCGGCGTGTAGTATGTCTCTTGAGCGAACGGTCCGTAGGAGAAAGTTACCGCGTTGAATAAAGCGAAGGAGGAACAGCGATGCTTGTCAACCCTTGCAGGTCGCATGTGCCTTGTCTCTCGAACTGCTAGTTGAGATGGATATCGCTACCGATTCTTGAGGAACGGCAGCGTCATGGACAAGATGATGGAGTTCTTCGCGGGACAAGGGTTGGCTGAGAAGATGTTCAGTGTTGGTGGTCAAATCCATAATCAGCACAGCCCCGACCGCCTGGGGACACCCACGCATCGTCCCAAAAAGGCTGCAGGCCTTGGCCTGGTGAGCTTTGACATTTTACGCCACCTCAAGAGTACACAGGTCTTAATCAAAATAAAGGGTGGCCCCCGAAATCCTGCGCGCAAATCAAAGTATATTGAAGTCAACTATCTCAATACAAACCACAAATCACCTTGCCCTCGACGGTTTACAAGGGATAGATCTGAAAACACCAAGAGAGCCTCATCAGAGCCTCATCACACAATCAAAGGAAGAGAAAATCTCCCATTCGTGTCCACGCTGATCAACATGCAGGGAGGTAAATCTGTCGAGTATTGCTTGCAGTCTGCATTGGTTACCGAGATCGGATAACGGATATTGCACGCCCTAGAGTAGCACCTTGTGCCCGTGCCCGTGGCAAGCGTCTGGCTGCTGGCACAGGGGAGGTCATAGTCACAACGATTTGACCACGACCTTGGGGGTCTGGGTATGCTACCGTGAAGCTGCCAGAAGTGACTAGCAGAAGCTTCATTATACAACCGTCTCGCGACGCACCCTCGAAGACGGCGTTCAATGTTGCGTATAGCTTGTTTGGCAACTCCAAACTGCTTCCTTTCCGGCGACATAAATCTTCGGTTGCGACGAGAACGAAACAACGCGATATTTTGGAGAAAACGAGTGTTGCCATGCTAGCCCATTCGTCCAGGCTATGCTGGCGCTCATAGGATGAGACATCACCAAGCCGCGGTTCTCGTGAAGGAATGGATGGGTCTTGCTGGAAAGCTTGAAAAATCAAGCTGCGGAGGACATCACTGACAACGGTTGCTTTTTTGCTCTCGCCTGGGTCCGAGATACACCAAAATATGGGATATGACGATGACTTGAGCAGCGTTGTCACCTCCACAACCATATCCAGAGTCCGTTGCAAAGCTTGCGGTGCGCTTCTGACGATAAGCATCGAGCTTCTGGGTAGCCGGGTCCATTCCTTCAAACATTTGATTGTCACCATCGTGGCTCGATCATTTTGCTGCCAGGAGACTCGCCGTCTCGAGAAAGACTGGCAGATGCGGAGAATGTCCTCGGGTGGTTTCGCAGGACGCAGGGCTTGGATAATTGAGGAGACCTGCACGCGACTGAGTATAGCTTTTGAGTCACCTACATCAAGTTTGATGGCTTTCAGGAGGTCGTGGCTGTTCATGGTATGCTGAATGAGTTGTTGCAGGCACTGCTCGTGCTTTTGACTCGAGATGGACACCAACTCCAACTGCGCCTGCATGTCCAACAACCGTTGCTCTATCTGTCGTTGACGTACAATCTGCTCTTCCAGGACAAATGACTGGCCACGGATCTCGGCACGGCCCGCAGTACTGGCAATCAATTCCACGTTCCTAGCACAAAGTTCGATGTCTGCCACGGTTTCCTGAAAAGGGAGCTGGGAAGGTCGGAAGACGGCTTTCAAGACGCGCCTGGTACGATTCGCAGTGTACCACGTAACGGCTCTCTGAAGGAACAGCAGGATATGTGCGTACAACTGAGCCACGGCTTCTTTCATCTGAGGTGTGTTGTAGAGCGCCAGTTCCACACGAATACGCGGGAGAACGTCGCCAATGTGGGCCAGGGCCTTTGCCAATTCTGCCGCGTGTTGTGAATAGTTGGACACACCCTGAGATCGATCAATGCCATTTCTTTCATCCACGCACAGGGGCGTACAGCAAAAATAAATTTGATAGCTCCCCAAGCAAGCCCTGCATGAAGGGGGTCGGCATTGGCGAGGATGTCCAGCACAGCGCCATAACGGGCCATGTTCGCTGCAAAGGCGCCAATCCACCTCTTCGCTCCGACATGGGGCTCCGACCGATCATCATAGGAATCCCGTGCCCGCTCGACCGTTTTCTTGACGTCTTCGAGCGAGGTCTGGCCACGGATCCATGCTCTTTCACTCGGTGTTTCAGCCAACGCTCTTTCGAAATACTCGACGGCTCTCGCATACGCGTCCGCGGCGATACTTGTAGAACTATGGTGCTCTGTGAGCCACGTATCCAGCAACACCGCAGGGAAGTTCTCACCTTGTATTTTGGCCAGAGCACCACCAGGCCGTTATCTCATCCTGAGGTTGGGCCACCGTGAGCATCTCGGCGTACGATCAGATTGGCGATTTCGCAGGCTTCCTGCTCATGGAGCGAGGCATCTCGACAGACTGGCAACATCTGCAGACACCCAGTCAGGCTGGGTGATGAACAGAACTGGCCTCGACCTGCGAGCCGCTAGCTGCTAACCGCCAGTCGCAGTCCGCTGCATCCAGTGCCGGTACGGAATATTGCATTGAACCAGTGTTGCAAGCGAGCGAATTATTAAGACTCGCTGTACCATGCAGGCTTGGCAACTGAAACATGAGCAGAAGAATCTCTCTCCTTCACACTAACTAGACCTCGCCCTCTGCCAATTACCACTTCTCAGCCCGGATCACAGCCCGTCCGCGTGCTTGTGCCTGCCTGATCCAAATGACCTCAAAACAAGGATTGCCACGGTGATCGTAACATCGCAAAAGGCTGCATATCGACACTGCACAGCAAAAGACGCTCATAATATGAGCGTTGCCAAGAACGTATAGACTGAGGCGTTGTGTTGTGGGGCAGAGAGATAGACGCTCTCGACGCTTCCCTGCCGAGGGAGCTCACGACACGCCTATTCTCACGATTAAACCCCTAATCCTGTTTCAAGCGATGCCTCTTACTCCCGAAGACATTGTCAGAAAGTACGTTGACGACGGAAGCTCGCTGGAGCGGGTGAACCAGCGCAAATCCAACCTCAAGATCGCCATCGTCGAGCCCAACCCGGCGTGGCCGCAGCGCTTCCTCGACGTCAAAGCCCGGATCGACGCTGCGCTGGGGTCGACAGCGCTCGCAGTCTTTCACGCCGGATCGACCAGCGTGCCCGGCCTGCCGGCCAAGGACGTCATCGACGTGGACCTGGTGGTGCGGGACGTCGAGGACGAGGCCGCGTACGTCGACGCGCTCGGGCGCGCGGGCTTCGTCTTCCTCTTCCGCGAGCCCGCGTGGCACCAGCACCGCTTCTTCGTCGACGAGGGAGACCGCCCACTTGACGACGGATACCCGGTCAACCTGCACGTCTTTGGGCCCGACTGCCCCGAGGTCGAGAGACACCGTATCTTCCGCGAGTGGCTCGTCCGGTCGCCCGACGACCGTCACCTCTATGCCACCGTCAAGCGCGAGTGCGCCATGGCCGCCGAGACGGCCGGCGAGTCCATGCAAGAATACACGGTGCGCAAGGACAAGGTAGTCGGAGAGATTCTGGACCGCGCATTTCGCGATCTGGGCTATATCAAGTAATTTCAATCAATCAACCCTCCTCACTGTACTCATCCATCATCCTTCTTTTAATCCGCCCCCACGCTCCTTTTCTCCTCGCCTCCACACGATATACTTAGTTCTATCAAATACAGTAGTCAACAGCAGACACTACCAGATACCACCAGACATCAGCATACACTAGTATATGCATACCAGCACACATTCGGAATACCCAAAAAGAAAAGGAAAAGGAAAACAAAAAGACACAAGGGAATGGCAGAGGAGGACCAAAACCAGAGAGAGAAAGAGAAGAGAGAAAACAAAGGTATACCCTGCCCGCTCAGATCTCTCTCTCTCTCTCTCTCTCACACACACACACACAAAAGGGAGACAGATAAAATCGAAAGCATCCATAATCATGGTCATGGTCATAATCGTGACGAGTGCAATATGTATGCTCATGTACCTATGTAATATATGTATGTACGTATATCCAAGTGCTTGGGCACAGAATACTACATCATGAATGATGACAATGCTGATGATGATAGATAATTCCACTATCGATGTGGTTGGGACAGAACAATAAAATCAAACATGACCTCCCAATCTCCCTTCCGGACCTGGAAATGCAGCAATATGCCGATAACGAATGCAATGTGAGAAAACCGCCCCGAGTCTAATGGAATGATCGCTTTCTTTTTTTCGTGGAGCGTCGAACAAACCAAAACTTGAATGGACTTGGTGTCCCGCGACAATTCTTCTTTTTGGCTTGTTCCTTATTCCCGTAGCCAGAAAACGCCAGTCGCTATGCGCCCGCCCCATGCAAGTCGAATGAAAATCCATAACAGTAATCTGCCATCCCAGTGGTTCCATATTTTGGGGAGAAAAAGTGGACGACAGGATATTCCTAGGAGCTGTCTCCTGTTCATTTCCGATGGTGTGGCTTCGTATTCCCAATTGTATCCAAGGGTGGTATAGCTCCGAGGCGGAATTTCTTGTGCGAACAAAGACCCTCGACTTTGCTCACCAGGTCTCTGCGATATATTGACCCGAGCTCTTTTTCTCATCCCAGAAGCTCTGTGCCTCCTCGCGATTCAACTTGCCCTTGGCCATTGCCACATCAATCAGCGCGGCCTCGACACCTTCACCCATACCCTTGGAACTGCCACAGACAAAGATCCTCCCGTCCACGGCGTTGATGATAAACCAGACCAAGTCTGCTTGGGCACGGACTTCTTCCTGGACGTAACGACCTTGTCCCCGTCGAGATTGGACAACTTTCTTCACTTTGTCTTCGTGAACGCCCCAGTCACCGGAGTAGAGCTCGTCCACAAGACTATCCCGCACCCCCTGGAGCACCCAGACTTTATTGGCGCAGTTGGCCGACTTCAGTCGACGATGGACGAATCCCCGGAATGGAGCGATGCCGACACCGGCTCCAATGAGAAGCATAGGTCCGTCGGTGACAAATTCACGAGCCAGCGGGTTGGCCATGAGGCCTCGAAACATGGGGACCCTGAGATCCAAGTCGCGAGGGTTCTTCCCTTCCTGCTCTGCCTGGATGACCTGCTTTGCTAGTCGCTCCAAAAATCCCGATCCCACGCCTGTCCGCTTGCCCGTGGCGTAGTCATCTGCTTCATGGACCGTGACCGCAATTTCGATTAGTCGCCGGCATTGTGTGCCGTCCCGCTGACGCGAGATGGTCGGATCCTGAGACAGGGAGTAAAATCGAGGCATGAGTTGATTGAGGACAGAGAGCAGATGGTCGAGAGGAGGTCTGGAAGAGGGAAAAGCGCTGAGGAGTTGCGGAAGAGTGATGTATGGTCCCGTTCGGAGGTCGCAGAACGCTGCCTGGCCTTGTGCTGAAGACAGGTACATCAGAATCGTCTTTTCGTTTTCGTCTTCTGCATGCTCAGCCAAGAGCCGGAAGAGCTGTTTGGTTGGCGGATAGCTCTGAATGTCTGAACACCAGGTCAGTAGCTCCCTTCGCGTGGTGACAAGTTCCCGAGCCTTCTCTTCTCCCCAGATCGTTGGCCATCTTCCAGTGGTTGTCTTGAGTAGTATCGGCTTATCGCGCACAAAGCTTGGCACGCCTAACAGATCTAAGATCTGATTGACCATGTCAGGTGGATTGGCGGCGCACACGCCAATAGCGCCTCCTACGACAAAGTCAACATCTCCGCTCTCCCTGGGGTAGTCAGTCACATCAATGTCGAAGTGGTATGTTCTTTTCTCCGCCCCAGGCTTCGTCAACTCGCGGGCGTGGAATAGAGGTGCTGAAAATACCTCGTAGGGAGGGTGCGGGGTGACGAAAGTGGGTGGGTGTTTTAGGACTTCCGGCTTTTGGCTATGGGGCTCTGCATAGGTACGTGCGGGCGAAGTTGACAAGGATTCGAACGACACTGTCTTCGGCGGTACCTCGACGACGCCTGAGAGCTCGCTGTCCAGACTCAGATGGCCCAAGTTGATTTGCAAGCTTTGGAAGGCCGGACTCTGAGGGGCTTTGAGTGGTCTATGACCCGGACGAGGCTTCTTTGTCTTGAGCTCTTGGAGCATGCAACATCCTCCACCACAGCAGGCTTTCTGGATCAGGGCAGTCGAAGCGCCGCGCTCACCCAAAAATCGTCTTGCATCTTCCGAATCTTGAGAGACCAACAACGTCGACGCCCGTCTCTTCCTGCCCTGTGGACTTTGAGGTGGCTGGCCGTTCAAATCCTCGAAGGGGACGTCTGAAAGGTTGTCGGTCGTCGGGGTCGTGGGTTCGGTGCTTATGCTCGAGGCACTGTCGGAGTAGGAACTCGAGGGGCCATTGGAGGTCAGAGAGGGCGAAAGCTGCGAGGCGGAGATTGAAAGTTTCCTCGTATCCAGAGGCTCTTCGGGAATGGGGTTATTAGGGTGGGAATGGGCTGTGAGAGGCAAAGGGTGCCCCGGGACTATGGTAGTTGACATCTTGGGACGAGCGACAATACTGTGAAGAGCACCTATCCGACAGATGTGTTTAGCATTTGTGCAGTGATTGAGAAGAGATTCTGCGTGACAATGTAAGAAGCTTTCACCTGCTCCATAATAAAAGAGCAGCCCACGCAGAGCGATTAACCCAGAGATTTCGCAGCATTATGCATTGCTGAGTACGGCTGGAAGCGGGTTGTGTGGGCTCAAGAGGATAAGAGGGTTGGGGAACTTACGGGCAGTTGAGGAGATGATGTAAGGTGCGGAATGAGTCCTCGGGATTGAGTGGCAGGCCAAGAACAGCCCTCGACTTAGAACGCGTCCAGACACTTTGGATCGGAAGAAGCAGCAGTCGTCGACAGGAAGAGAGATATTAATGCGAAAGACTGTTGAACATTTTCGTAAGGACCTTGCTTGTACGTGCAATAATAACTCGGTTGAGCAAAAGTTGTCGAAACCGAGAAAACGAGGGAAGAGGCACCCCCAAAGTGGGAGGAAGATGTGGAAAGAAGCTGGAAGGGCGAAAAAGGTGGTGGGATGGGAAAATCGGAGAATCGATGGGAATAATTAATGATAGATGGAATGGGGGGTGAAGGGGGGATGAAGGGATCTTTTTAGATGCTGGCCCTTTTTTTTCTTGTCGGCTTTCCTGTGGTGCGCAGGTTCGTGGTTCGTGGTGCTGGGATTCTGGTTATCGGCACGTTACAAAGTACGAAAGTCACAAGGAATTTGTACGAATTAAAGTTGATTCGGTTCACTTGGCCCATTCAGCGTGGATACCCATTTTCCTCTCTTTCTTTCTTCCCTTTCCCTATCGTGGAATGACTTGTGGTCAACTCTACTACTTGGTAACTCTTTTCCCCTTATAAGATCCCCTTTCCATGCACTCCATAAACTCCACAATCCCAGAATCCGTTGGGCTTGTGATTGCCACCTACAAGTCCAAGTTGACAGGGGCTTGTCCGATGACTTGTCATGCCACAAATCCATTCCCACACCCGGCAAAAGCGAGACAAGCCGATCTTGAACTTGTTGCCCCGCGCCGATTCCCGGATGTCAACCCATGAATCCATTCTTTTGGTCCACCAAAACTGGCAATTGGGAACGGCTTCTTCCCCCTTCACAAGTCCAGACCCTCTTTCTCTTGCCGCAACTTGGTAGCGAGTTCCCCTTCTTTGCGACTTCGGAACTGGGGCCATGTTATTACTCGTCCTTGCGCCCTGGTGCTGGATACCCAAGGGACCGCTAATTCTGACAATTGTCCCACCTATCTTATCCACATCTGACAAGCGATTGATACGATTAGATATGATTAATTTCCGTGGCCCTGATCATCGGACTGCCAGGGCCTGCACGGCTTTCGTACAAATTCACTTTCTTTTTCCGGCTCTCCCATCCGGCGTCCGCCGTAGAGCATATAAGAGACCATGTAGGCTCGTATCAAGACACTTGGCTTACGTTTCGATGTTTGCAAAGATGGAAGAAAGATCGAGATTCGTATGATATCCATCTTTCATAGGTCTGCGGTTGTGCTGAGGGTGATTACTTACTGTACATACTACTCGCCAGTCTTGTCATTCCGGAGTGGAGGATGCAAAAGCCAGTCCAGTCAGTGTCTCGTCTCCATCGGCTCCGATTACGGCGATTCCAAGGAACCCAGTGCGCCAGTTTCTACTCGTAGTTTCCAGGATCCAGGTTGCTGGCACAATCTGCGCTACAATGGCGTTTCCCTGTCCCCCGTCGTAGTCCCAGTCGTGCCAAACCTCACCTCCTTGACAGCCCCTCCTTTCTCTGGCTCCTTGGGTGCTTGTTCTCCAAACTCTGATTGATAATGGCCGCGTCATCTAATCTTATCTTGCTGAAGAATTATCAATCAGATAATTTGCCCTTTGTGCCATGGTGTTTCGGTTATGGGCCATACTCTGGGCATTACTCCACGGCTGAGCCATCCTGTAATATATCATCTCAACCCCCTTCAGGCTGCCATGCGTCTGCAGCCTGACTACCTCGTACTTGTTTGCAGCAAAGCACAAATCAATTACGAGGAAAAGAGTCCTCGCTAGCACGTGGGCCCGCCAGAATCCCGGCCTTTCCCCGATCCTTCATCAGCAACCGGCGCCGATGCCTGACGAATAGCATTCTCCTGTGTCATGTCCAAGTCCAGGAGAGCATGGTTTGCCGGAAAAGGAGTCGCTCTGGCGTACGCATCGAGAGTCTCCCTCCCAGCAGCTCCGTCAGGAGCAACCTTTCAAGTGCATCGGTGGCGTCGAAAAGAGTGACGTGGTTTGCTATCGATGTTTGATGCTGGGTCTACGGCCGACAATAATCTTCAACATGTGCGGCCCATGACTGCTCTTCGCATACCTCCCTGTGAGTCCGTGGTTGTGGCCCAACCCACAACTAACACAACAACACCTTACAAAGGCGAGGAGCAATACATAATTGCGAAAGAGAATGCATTGCATATAATCAGTTGTTTTGTGCCATTAGTACCGCCTGCCACCAGTTACCCGCATGAGCATTGATTCTTTCCTCGCTTTTCTTCAGTTTGCATGAGACGCCCAACCTTTTGTCGTCTTGGAAAACATCTGAACCACCAACTATCGATAATTCTCAACATCTTATTCAACGAGATCGGAAAAAAGAGTGGCCCTGCTGGTGTAGACTGCCCGAGATACAGAAAAAGACAAATCCATGCTTTTTGGAGCCAGAGCTAGTATTGTTCTGCAGACCATTTCGATGCATCCCTCATTTTCACCAGTCGGTCCCTTCACCCACACAACTCCGGTCGGGATTTGTAGCTGCCTGTAGCATTCATGGTGTCCTAACGTCGTACTTGGTCTGAATCATACTCAGTTGGCGATGCTTGGGACGCTCTCTCACGGAGCTGATGACGCAAAGCGGGCAGATGCCGTCTTCTGGCATTGATGAACCAGTTGCTTATCTACACGGAATCAAATGTCAGTCTCTGCTCCTTCTACATTCAAGGGGCAATAGTACCTGGGCAATAGAAAGACCTGTAGATTGAGCAAATTGTTGCTTATCCTCCTCCGTCGGGTACGGATGCTCCAAGTGCGCCAGGAACCATTGTCGCAAGAAGTCTGTAACATGCTTTGGCAAGTTTCCCCTTCGTCTCCTGCCGGGCAGACCGCACCCTTCATTCGATACTGTCGGAGAGACCGGGTGATGGGAACCGGTCGGCGAAGGGAGATAATCGCCTGCATACGACGAGGGGTATGTGACATTGCCACGATACTCATATACTGATGGCGGGTATCTTGAATACTCCATCTGCGGAGCATTCGGTCTATTCGTTTGCGGATAGCTCTGTCCATAACGGTGGGGTGGGTCGTAATAAGACGGTGTTTCCGTCTTGTATGAGTAACCCTCGTGACCAGTGGGCGGTCCACCAGAAGAACCGTATCCGTAGGAACCTGTCGATGAAAAGGACGGGCTGTAAGGGCTCATCCGGTCAAAATTTCGAATAGGAGGTAAACCTGGGGTCGCTCTGGAAGGTGAAAATTGGGTCTGGATGGTACACGGGGGACGCTGTTGAGGACCATATGGACTGACGACGTCAGAATAGTGGGAAGTCGAATTCCATGACGGGTTCTGTCTGTGATGGTGCGGAGCAGTGTATGCCGAGTCACTACTCTGAGCAGACATGTTGTCGAAGGACTCAATCCCATTTCCATTCTGCGATCGTTCAGGCGAAGGGGGCTCAATTTTTAATGGCCTGGATGCCGGTTGGAAGGTTCTCCTTGTCATATTGTCTCCTTGAGTAACGGATATAGATTCGCTGGCTGTTATAGGGTCGATTGACGAGTCAACGTTGGATCCCAGGAGCTAATCGGCATCAGCACAATCTTGTCACAGGTGTCGTATCCAGCTCACCTCGCGAAATGGCGGCAACTGCTGTTGCTGCTGTTGTGAAAGAAGAATTTTGGACTCCCCAATGTGGTGATTCGAGCGCGGTATCCTGGTTGCCCCAAAGTCAGAAGGACAGACGTAAGAAGCGTAGGGATCCATGAAAGCAAAAAAAGAGGGAGAAAGACATAAAACTTGAACGAGACACGAGCGATCCTTGTGTTGAAGAGTGAGGTTATGTGGCAGTAAACTGTGTCAGACCAGGATATCCTGCTTTGCATCCACGGGCTTATGTGCTACCAGAAGGCCCGTCAAAGGAGGACGGTGAAGGGGAGAGGCGGTGCATTACCGAGATGCCAGTGCTGCAGACCTCAGAAGACCAGTGTCAAATGTATCCATGACAGCGATGACACGGCCTTGTTGGGAAGAGTAAGTGGGATTGCTGCGCAACGTAGGGAAATGAATTTCAGAACCGTGGACATTGAGAACACACTTACCAGGCAAATGAGTCAAGCGAAGAGATGAGGAGTCGAAATGATGGCAGACCTCGTATCTATTTAAGAGAATATCAGTCTGGAAGTAGTTCACACTGTGTGAAGGCTTCCGATGTGGATTCGCTATCCGCGAGTGAAATGGAATGAGAGTCGAGGTCGACTTCTCAGAATTGATGGACCCTCTTCGAAATATAGTAACAGCATTTTCGTCCTGGGGACGTCTGTATCCTCTTGGGCGAGCAGGTGTAGTGGCGGCATGGTGGAGCAGAGATGGCTAGTCTTAGAAAGGTGGTCTGGAGGTAGATGGTATGCATGGGTGTACAGTTTCCCAGGCAGGGTCCGTGGTGGAACGGTGAAGAGGGCAGCACGGAGCGACCAGGGTCATGGAGAGTAGCAAGTCTCGATGAGGGAGGTCTCAGATCCCGGCCCCAGCAGGGTTTTTGTCGATCTGGCAGATGGAAAAGAGACACTGGGGTTTGATTGAGATGCAGACGGACTTGCTGCGGGCGGTGTGATTTGCACATGGCGCACAAGGACGAATCAAATTTCCGCTCTCACCGAGAAGCAGAGTATTTGTTGGTGGTGGTGGTGGTCTCGGACGAGTCCACTTGGCCATATCGACCAGAATGGTTCTGTGGCTAGGTCAACGCGAAAAGATGTAGGGGACGAGCTCTCGGTCAGGAGATAAGGTTGGCTGACCCTGTGAACGGGAGTAGGTGACGCACAGGAAGAGGAAAGGCAACGCAAGGGGGCTGAAGCGACTGAGGGACGCACATGGTAGGGTGTGGTGGATTGAGGAGAGTATCTTGGTTGCGAGCATTGAGCTGAACAGGGGAAACAAAACTGACTGATTTGAACGAAAAGAGCCGCTATTGGCCGTACTCCTCATGAGGGAATGAAAGAGCAGTATCCGAAAGCAAATGGGCGGGGCAGCAGTTGGGTGACAGGATGAGGCCGTTCATGTTAGATGGTACTTGGGGGTCTTGAGCAAAGAGGGAGCAAGGGGGCATATTCGGGAGAGCAGGACGCCATGGATCGGGCGGCGTCAAAGGAGCTGCATGGTGGAAGAGAGACAGCGAGCTTTTCAAGACTCGACCTGATGACGATAAGTTCTCCTTCTCTTTTGTGAGGTTCAACGGTGGTGGACGTATTGCGTGACTCGAAAGTTGCTCTTCTAAGTGAGGATTTGTTCAGGAATTGCATTCGGTGGTAGGAGTGGCCTTTTCATGAGACAGGGAGCTGACGATGGTCTGTGTCTGTGGCCAGACGTTGGAGGACTTGAGAGTTGTTGTTGCTTTCCCTCACCGATAGTGCAAGCAGTGCACCTGGGCAGGCCGTACAAGACAAGCAAGGAAAGTCAATGGTGAGGTCAGAAGTTAGACAGGGTTCTAGGATGGCAAGGATGCTCAGGGCGCAGCCATTGACTGGCTGCGCGGGAGGTGAATGGCTGCATTGGCGAGGGGCCCTAATCCCGTTTTGTCTGTCACCATCGTGAACGGCGTTCATTTCACACCCTTCGCTACCACAAGCTCGCTAGACAGAAGGCTCCATATTTCATACCTGTGAACCAGCCCTGGGCTATTACCTTTACGTACAAGATCTCTTCTCCATCGCCACCGTTTCTTGCGTCTGTTGGCGTCACACTACGGAAGGACCAAAAAATGCTGCCTCATCAATGCTGCGCTCTTATCACATCCTGCAGACCGCAGCTGTCAGCTGTTTGGCGCTCAACCTCCTTACTTCGAGACAACAGGTGGTAGCAAGCTAAGTTGAGGACGAGCTCCTTGATGTCCAAGCTCCTTCAATGGCTGACGGCTTGCATGCAGTCCCAAATCGCAGTAAATGTCGCCTCCCGCATCTGACCACATTCCCGGGTCTCCCCCCCTCACTCTGCCAGGGTGGCCATTGTCTTCCCCCTCTCAGGAACAGCAGTTTTCCCGCTCGCGGATGTCACATTTCGGAGCCTTTGTGTTACGCTGCCAGTCTTTTCCTTAGATTTGAATCGATGTTACTGCGCGATCCGCACCGAGATTTGGGTCATGCTTGGTGGTACATACTCACGGTTGTGCAACTCGTTCATCTGAGCTGTCTCCCCCAGCTCGCTCGGAACACTCAGCTCTGGACGTCAACCAATGTTAATCCACTCGAGCCTCCGATGGGTGGATTCCGCCAGGATCTGCCGCACAGAATCTGACTCGTCAACCGTTTGCACCTGGGTCTTTTTGACCGCCTCGTCGTCTCCTCTGTGCAGGGCCCATCTCGGTCGAATCATGCACAAGTGCTAACGCAACCACTTTCCATGTATGATACACGTCAAAAATGCAATCACCAATAGTGACCCGGAAAATGGGCCTCTATGTTGGCCTGTGTCCCCCTCGCAGAACTGGGAGTCTGGGAACTGAGTGTGACCATGCCCGGTAGATCACTCGGAGACACGCTTTCCCCAGCTTGCGAAAGTTTGTTCGAAATAGGGCCCCTCGGAAAGTTCAAGAGAGGTGGGCATAGATCTCCAGGTCGCAGCAGCTGCCATACGCAGTAAAAGCAGATGTCGGACACGTGGTGTTGGTCAATCATGCCCTGTTCGTTCGGAAGCATATCAGTTGGCGACATCTTCCATAAAGGCTCTCTGCATCAATGTTGTACGTCGACGCCTTAAGATTGCCTGGCATGCTGTCAAGTGCCCTAGGTCAGTTTGCTTCGCCCTAGTCCCCTCGAAACCGGAGAGGAGAAACTTGCCTGGCCCTGCGGTAAATGCATGGGGAATTCGCGGCTCGTATGAGTGCGCTGGTGTCGAGTATTGGATAAGAGCACTGTTTGAATGCGCGTTAACAGCTTCCTAGGGAAAGTCTATATTGCAGAGGAGCCAACTAGGCTCCATCTCCATCGTATCGTTTCCCGCACTTCACCAGCTGAGGCTTCCGCTCCTTGCGGTCCAATAATGCGATCTTTTACGAGGACGGATCAACCAGGGCAATGCAAGGTTCTCTCCTTCGCGTCGATCGGTGAGTCTGGACTCGCCAGATATGGGAGCGAGGCCCGAGTGCTCTTCCTGGGTGGGGAAGGGGTTTACTGTACCTTGTACTGGCTAGTATGCGCCAACACCGTCACCAATTCATGCTTTCGTGGAGTCGTTGCCTCGAACAGACCATGGCTGTGCTAGCTGGAACCTACATGCGACTGCAACTAATCCCGAGTTGGACTTGGCTGGCACCTGGTCAGTGCGCATGAGGGCGATGGACTCAGTCATCTGGCAGTTCTACTGGGATCGACCGCATACCGCAAAGTGAGGCTTTGGACTTGGCGATCTCATGGACATGTAGCGAACGTGTCATTTTTTCGGGTCCCACCAATAGCGAAGGTGTCGTACGACACCGAAAGCGCCACAAGGCCAATGTCAATTAGTGGAGTCCAGGATCACAATTCATACTCGGTCAGGATGGGAGGTTTGGACTTCGGAGGAAAGGTGCTATGATGGGCCTGTTTGTTTTCTCTTCGCTTGTTGGCAGGACTCTGCTTTTCAAGGTACGAGGAGGTTCCCCCATCATTGCACATACCCTGCTGGTTTTAGCGCTTTGATCGACCTACCTACTCGCATATGTACATCAGACACACATTGCAAAAGGGATAGGGGAGAGACGGACAAGGTTCGCTGAACTCATCGGATCGCCGTGTAGCTCTCACAGAGCAACTTTGGCCATGCATGCACCTGTCCACTCGCCGTACCACGCGACGATTGACTGACTGCATTTTTCTGCACGGTGCTTTGGAACTTGTCTGTCAATCAATCTTGTCTGATGCACCGGTCCAGGAACACTTGACTTGACTGAACTTTGACTGCCGTTGAGCCCATCCCCCTTCCGACCGACCGACCAACCTACCGACTGTGTTTCCGTCTTGCTTTGCCATGACAGGACAAGACAGGACAGGCGAGGACGGGTGATTTTTTTTTTTTTTTTTTTTTTTTTTTTGGATTCGGATGTTGTTTTTATTTTGTTTTTTTTTTCTTTCACTGCTGCCACCGTCTTTTACACAGTTTTGTTCGTCGGCCGCTCCAGATTGGTATATGAGCCAGGGAAGGGTGTGGCTTGTCGAGGGCCTCGTTTCTCTGCTGCTCGTGAGAATGGCACTTGAGTGTCTCGGTCCGCTCCTGTCGGACTCTTTCGGTATGGGCAAAGTCGTGTTCAATCTGGGCCAGGGTCGGCTTCCCGGGTCGGGCTTTTGCCAGCTCATCCCGCAG